GGATTATTTTTGAGGCAGTTTTTCACGTTATGAAGATTAGCAGTTAAAGCAGCTCATAGTATTTCAAGATGGTGTGTTCCATAATGTAATGAGACGCATTCTTGGTCTGAGCAGGGAATTAATGACTTGTAATTTGCAGCTAATACAAAATGAAACAAGCGCATGCCAGATGTAGAACTTGAGCCTTGCCATTTAATTAAGGAGGAACTAAGAGTGAAATTAGGGTTAAAAGCCCTGAATAGACTGATTATTGTTACAAAACAGTGAACTGATAGGTATATGTTGGAGATACAGTATAAACTAATTTAAGCTTTTTGTATCTTTGTGGAAGTTTCAGTGCTTGTAGATGACAGGGCCTATATGTATGGGTTGAGCCAGTCTTGTGGTAGCTTTTACTATTACGAAGATGATTTATTCTTTCTTGTATGCAGACACATTATTATGTAATTTTCAGCTATCCTGTCTGCTATGTGTATATTCAGAGGAAAAATTTTGGGGAGAATTTGACTTGTCACAGCAGCTTACCAATCTTGGTGTAGTGTTTTTTTAACAGCTTTTTAAATTATATTTTAAAACAGTAATAGTCAGATACTAGGCACATTAAAAATTTATCTACCAAGTTTTTAGTACCTGAAACCTGACTATCAAATAATGAAAATATCAGTACTGAGAAAGGGAATTCTTAGAGATACATAAGGAAATAAAAATAAAAAATCAGAACAGTCTTATTTATTTGTCTTTAGGACCTATGCTAATCTTTAGTCAAGGAAAAAAAAATGTTGTGGATTTCCTAGAAAAGTGTTCTTCCTTGATAAGTTTTCCTATGCAAAGGAGGGTTCATATGGTTATGTGTTTTGGCTCAAGAATTCTTTGAGGTGATCTGCAGGGAAATGACACTTTTTAAAAAGTGGCTGAGTAGGAAAAGCTTTTTATATTTTAAGAGATCTTTAAACATGAGTTGAAGAGCTTAAGTACCTCTCTCTGATGTGTATATGTCTTTAGGAGAGTTTAGGCACAAATTGCGATGTCAGCATTAGTAGTGCAATTGGGTTGAAAGTTTTATGAGTAACAAAATACTTGAACTGATTAAAGATACAGCCATTTAAGTAGTTTGTATATGAGGAGATTATCCCTGTGGTTACACAACTGAAAGACAGTAGGCTTGGCTCAGTTTTCTTTATGCTTCCTTTAGTTCAGATTCTTGCTATTCTCAATCCATTTATTTGATTGGAGTTCATGTTGTAAAATTATGCAAAAACCTCGCTAGTAGGTGTTACTGTAGGGGTTTTTATGTTCAAGTTCGTTAATCTTTGTGTGTTTGAGAATTGCTTGGGTTTTTTTTGAAAGTGTTGAAAGTGTGAAGTACTTTAGCATAGTCTGTGTTGTGGTAAGTAAACCAGAGAGATAATATTCAAGGTCCACACAGCCGCATACTTAATATGATGCATAAATTGCTTAAGCCAGTTGACTAGTCTGTAACCTTAGTTGCACTGTGTATTTTTTTCTCTCATCCAAAATTCTGTTTTCCAACTAAACCTTTGTGTGCATCTTTTTTTTTTTTTTTTTTCAATTGCAGACTGAATTAAAAATTAGTATTTGAATTTAGAATTCCTGCCCTATACCAGGTAAATTTTCTGTAGGGAACAAATAGAGGAGAAACTAACATTTTTGAAAAGTGACAATAGAAAGTCATGGTAGGTTTTGTCTCTTTTCCTCTGTATACATGTGTGTCTACTTCCTGCATACAGACTTAACCTTTTTTGCTTCCTGTATGGGATTTACTGCCTCAGGGTATGCAAAACTAATTCTATGATTATGTATTCAAATACGGTCTTCTTTGATGAACATTTAATGCCCTTTTGCAAAACATATTTTTTTAAAAATCATGGAAATAGCACCACACCTTCATGCTACTCTTAAAAGATATTAGCTATTTATTTATTAATCTGACTCCTACAAAGAATTAGATCCGATAGCATGCTAAATTTTGTTTGTTATCCTGTTTTCTAAATTACTCTTCCAAGCGCAATCTATGAAACTGAACAGCATTGCCCAAATTTTCTATAGTGTTTTATCCAGAGATCATTTAAATAGACACCCTACAAAACCTATGCAGAAAGAGATAGTCCTTTCCTGTCAGTGGGAGAGATTAGGATGCTAACAATTTTTGATAGAGGAGATTTGAGAATCCCTCTCCCAGCCTGTGTGGACCTTCAAATCAATCTTTGTCTTGATGTAGCTTTTGACTTGACACCAGCTCTAGTACAGTTGCTTGTACTGGTAGCTCTGAGGCAGTGAAATCTTACAGCTACATTTGGTTTAGAATGAGGAGGTTTAAAAATCTGGCTCACTGGATTGAGAGAAGCAGCATGTGTTTGTAAAGCAGCTCTACTCCTGTGATGGGCTTTAAGTATGTTTCTGCCCCATTGGGTTTAAACCCACTTTTCCTTTCTTCAGTACCTTCTATGTTGGCATAGACTTCCTTAATTGCAACTTCAGTGTATTCAGCCAGAGGTTTGTGCCTCATTCTATCTATGATCTGACAACCTTTTCTCCTTATAGTAACAAGTCAGTGTCCGTTTTCACACCTTAGATATAATTGTGCACACAGATGTGTCTTTTGGCTGGATTTCATGTGTCAGATAGGTACTTCCCAGGCTACTTTATTCTTTTTGCATGAAGACATGACCATTGCAAGGCTTAATGTAGTTTTTGGTATTACTTTTTGTTTCATGTATTCTTTTTGTAACAGTGAATGGCTGTTAACTTATCTATATTCATCATCTAGAATTCATTTAACTTCTACTGTGGTGGTTAAAATGTGCAATTTTTTTTTAAACAGCATCTATAAATGCATTACACACATACCTGTATACACTTGCCTTCCATCTCTGGTGTAGAATGACTATAAAATACTGAAGCACACAGAAAGAATTGCTACCCCTGTTCACATAAGATGGAGAAATGACCACATGCTTATTTTGGAATGTTGTAGAAAAACTCTAGGTATTTAAAAACCATATTACTCAGAACTTCTCTAATGAAGAATGGGAGTCCCTGTTCATTAGATGTCATCTGCTGTTTTTATTCCCTTATGATCAAAGGTACAGTTCTTCGCATTCAGGATGGAAATTGTTACTTGAAGACATGAAAGCATGCCGATGGTAATTAGGGTTGAGTTGTATGCTGAAGTTAGTATAATCCATAACAATTTCTCATATGACTGTGCATGTTAGAAGCATATATGTAAACTTGGCTCACAATAAATTACAATTCATTTTTATACATGATTTTAGAGAGTATGGGCTTTAAAAAAATGTCATTTAAGCATTCTGGGTAATAGTTCTCAGGTTATAAATGGGAAATGTGTAAATATCCTTCTGCTCATCAGGTTTTCATAGGTTGATTTCTTATGCCATTGCTCTATTAGATGTTTTATTCAGGTATATACACTCTGTATTATATACATTCGTGAACATGAAATTTTTGTATTAAACTGTGGTAAAACCAAATTCATTGCTGCCCCAAATTATCTGCCTTTTCAGACAATAGATTATTACAGAATAAACCAGTGTAGTGCATGGTTCTTTTCTGAGAAATGGGTAAGCCTTTTAGCTACTGCGTTGCAGGAGATCATAACAGAGGGTAATTTGAGTGTATATAGACACTTTTTTAATGTCATACAAGAGCATAAGAACACATCCTTTGGCTGCTGTCATGAAGTGGTGCATATTTGCATGTTCCTTATAGCACTCTTATTCAAGATTTAAGTGGTAATTTTGGGGGGCTTTCTTCTAAAACTGGACTTGTTTCCGTACAAAGTTCTAGTACAGTTTAGCTAACTCATTTTAAATTTTAATTTATCAAAACTTCCCTAAGTGTCTTCATGTAGATGTGATAATGTAGTGCTGTTAAAGAATCTCTCTGATTTTATTCTAATTTATACTTCCAGGTTCTCTTGAAGATATTTATGTTAAGCATAAAGGAGCAATTCTTCAATTCTTTATTTTCATTATAGAACATTTTTCTGGTGACATTCATAAAGGATCAAACGATATCTGTGTCTTCTTCTGTTTGTGTTTTTACATTTGTGATTGTTCGTCACTTCAGTAACAGCATGTATAATAATAAAGTTACCTGAGTTTCTAAACTTTTTTTGATTTGGATTTGGTAGAGGTGTTTACAGGTATCCAGAAATTTGCTAGCTGTAATGTAGTGCGTAAGGTACTGACAAAATAGCACAGTGAAGTGTTTCTTGCAAGGGTTGTGTTATACAAGACTTTTTTCAGCAGGAGACAGCTGTTGCAGCTCCATCGCAACAGCTGCATCTAGACCTGTAGGCAATTGAATGTCTATGTGTAAATGTAGAGTTGCAGTAATGCATGTAAAGTAATCTTAGGGGGTAGTTGTTATTTTCAAAATACGTAGCGATACCAGCTTTTGTAGCCATTGGAAAGGGTGAAGATGGTGATTCCTCGTTACTGGAAAAGGGTGATTTTTGTCATGGTTGATGATTGATCAATGCTTTTAGAGGGTTGAATGGTATTTCTTCAAATTCTTCAAGCTCTATTTTGTGGAAATTTGTGAAGATAGTTGTGGATCAGTGGCACCTGTGAATAGCTATATTTATTATAGTATGTCTTTTATACACCAACTACTTTGCTTTTGTACAAACTAGAATCCCGGAGATGTAGCCCTATTCTTCAGTGCTCATTAGATATTATTCTGCCATGTTGTAGTACATATTTTATTTTCTGTTGCTGTTTGGCTTATGAATTAGTGTTAATATTAAATCTGGAAATAGAAACTGGAAAATTTGAAACACTGTTCAAACCCAAGACTTAACACATTATACAAGTTGTGCAAAAATACAGTTGCATTCTGAATATACATTTCAAATTCGTATATTTTAATGACTTAAGGGAAAACTTTATTCAGTTATACAGACTTGATTATTTTATTTTTACTTTTGGATTAACTAGTGTACTCTTTCATTTCAGAATGTATGAAAACATGTCCACAATGGTGTATTTAAAGGAAGAGAAGTTGGAGAAGCTTACTCAAGATGAAATCATTGCCAAAACTAAGCAAGTGATTAATGGACTAGAGGCACTCAAGAATGAACACAATTCAATTTTACAGAGCTTGCTCGAAACACTGAAGTGTTTGAAGAAAGATGATGAAACTAATCTGGTTGAAGAAAAATCAAACATGATTCGAAAGTCACTGGAAATGCTGGAGCTTGGCCTTAGTGAAGCACAGGTAAAATTGCAGTAGAAATAAAGTATTTCAGACTTTGAGGACTTAACTTTGCCTTACTGAATAATAGAAATGTGCTGGGGCATTTATGTTGTTGTATGTTAAGGAAAATCACTGCTGTAATTAATAGAGGTAGATACTGTCTGTCTTGCTGTGTTAGAGAACTCATTATGCATTCAGTATTAAAGCACTGAAGCTCATAACTGAGCTCCTCTACTTCAGTGAGACAGTTGCTATTTTCTGTTTTGGCTTTTCCATGGCATTGGGCAGGTAATGTTTGAGCCACTCAAGAACTGAGCATCGGCATTTTAACTCTGAATTAATGCATAGGGGGGTCTGTCTTCCCTCTTCCCAGATTTGCTCCAACCTTTGAGCTCTGCCATAACCTTAAATTAATTTTTAATATTCCTTTGGTTCTGGGATTCTTTATAGTAGCTCACAATGTTCCTGGGGCTTAAGAATCTCTTATCTTTATTGAACATTTTACTAACCCAAAATTTAAACTAAAAACATCTTAAGGGTTGAGAATGGAGTAGAGAACCTGAACAGCTTTTACAGATGTGTTAAAAAAAGGACTCTGAGCTAACTTCTGTGAACTCTTAGTCGATGAAAGTATTGTCTGCAGAAGATGAGTGAACAGATGCCTATTTAGTCCGGATGTCAGGACTGTATTTACAGTTCAACTTGAGGGTATTTTGTACTAGGTCAAAAACCAGAAACGATGTGGTGTGACACAGTCATCACTGTAAAATAGCAGCGGGTTTGAAAATGAGTTGAAAATGCCAGTGAGTTAGCTCTATATTAATAGGCTTTATATTGGTCTGTAACTGTGCTCAGTCTTCTCATCTAGATCGAGTTATTGTTTGGCAATCTGGTAGTTTTGTGGATTGGATCATGGTGAATTGAGGCCTGAGAGAATGAACAAATACGCGTTACCAGACATGGGACTGTTAGAACCCTCTGGATGTTATGGTACAGATTGTCAGGCCTTAGTATATGGTACAAGTTTTGATCCCGTCTGTTGGAAGAAAATATTAGAAGACATATGTAATAAAACTGCAATAGTTGAGTTAATGGGTGTTTGTAGAAGGTCTGTGAGTGAATGAGCAACTTCCCTCTCCTAACTTTGATGTGGCATTGGGACTCCGGAAAGCTGTTTCTGATCCTTGGCTCTATTGGAGCCGGCAGCCTCAGCTGCAGAAGTTACTGCTGTGTTTGCCCCACATGGTGTTTCGGGAGTTGTGGTGGCTAGGAGCCAAGAAGTCTGCATTTACTGCCTGCCTTAGGAGAGCAATGACACCTCAAACTACTACTCATAGGCCTGATAAGCCTAGTCTTCCTGCGTGCTTTGGGTTGCAACAATGTAGTAATTTTTTTGATTTGCAGCATTTAAATTAAGATAAGGGAATATTTTTCTAGATGTTTTTGACACGGATGCAGGCTGGATAATATAAGTGTTGTTTCCATTAAAATGAAACTGACTTTGCTGAAGAAGTAATCAAACTTTTCTTTCAGTTAACTGTAGAGTAAGATTACAAAGGATTTTATTTTGCCATTGTTGCTTGTACAGTGTTGTTTGAATATGTTAACCCTTTTATCACAACTTCCTAAATGTAGTTTCTGATGTTACAAATGCCACTGTTTGAACAGGCCAAGTAATTTAAATTATGAATAACTTTGGATATGCTGAAGTCTGGAAATCTGGATTTATATTAGGAAATTATACTTGGAGTTTTTCTTACCTTTATAGGAAACAGTAGTTACAGGCTTGAGGTATTTTTTTGGAATGTGAAATATCAGCTAAGGACACTATCTGTTTCACATGAAATATTTAATTTAAAAACACTTCAGTGTAACTTTGTTTTAAAGAAACATGAAATTGAGGAGATGAAATACTAATAGCTTGGAGATGTCAAACTCATCAGAATCACCAGTGGCCCATTTTTACAAGGTGTGCTTCCTGGGATTGCTATCAGCTGTTCTGTGTGTATCAGTGGGAGATTACATAAACAGTGAAGGGAGAGTATCTTATCTGTGTAGTGTTTGGCTTTCACTTAGCAAGCTCCTTTTTCATTTAACTTTGCTTAGCAAAAATCCAGTCCAAGTAGGCTGCTTTTATGGCTGTTATTTTTTTTTTTTTTTTTTGTCCTCAATATGACTATTCAAACACTTTGAATGTCTGCACACTCAAGCTTATTGAAGCACTTTATATATACATATCATAAATTGTGTGTTAAGTTGCACATTTAGATCTCAGTAGTATAATTGTCCTTCTGAAGTATTATTTTTATGCTGAAGTGTTCATCCTTATGAACTGTAAACATGTATATGAATCCTTTCTGTCTGAAAGCTGCTAAATTAGAACTCTGTGTTAGTTCTTAGGTTATTTTTTTGATCCTTCAAGTTAAAAGTACTACTGCTTCGTTTCATGTTAGTGGAACAAAGATTTCCTTTTCAGTAATCTAAATCCTAGTTCAAATTTTTCATATATTTTAAGTTTTTATGTAATCTTCAGGGAATTCTAAAACAATTTGACATCTGTTAGCATCATGGAAAACAGTCATTAGTAAAGAGTTCCTCTAGGTTAATTCTAGCTGAAGAAATGGTAAAAAAGTTTGAGGAAGAGTGAGAACCAGATATGTAAAAAGAAATCTGAATGTTTACTAGATTTCACAGCTGACGTAGGTTTCAAATAATAAAAGGCTTTTATGTTAAATACAGGACTGCATTTTAGAGAAAGTATGTCATGTGACACCTTCTACTTTTTAGGTGATGATGGCCTTGTCAAATCACTTAAATGCAGTGGAATCGGAGAAGCAGAAATTGCGTGCTCAGGTTCGCCGGCTATGTCAGGAAAATCAGTGGCTACGGGATGAACTAGCCAATACACAACAGAAACTACAGAAAAGTGAGCAATCTGTGGCTCAACTGGAGGAAGAAAAGAAACATCTAGAGTTCATGAATCAGTTAAAAAAATATGACGATGATATTTCACCATCAGTAAGTAGCTGCATAGTAAAAAGCACCTTACATTTACGTATGTGTTGTAATCTGCCAAGTTACCAAGAAATGACAGATAGAAGCTTTATAATTGTCTCCAACATAAACTTGTCATTAAAATTCTTACCTTGTCCCAGTGTCACATAGTTTGCAGAAAAATTGAGAGTTCAGTTATTTTAAGAGAGTAAAGGTTTTATTTTATGTAGATAATAAAATACATATGAGCCTCAAAATTCATAACTCCTTATTTAGTATTATATTAGCTTAAAAAAATTGTTTGGTTCCATTCCTAAGATTTCCTTTTGGAAATTCAGCAGTTAAAATAAGGGGGGAATGTAAACTATTAAAGATTCTAAATATGCAGGGGACTTGGCTTGTTTTGACTGCAAGAAAAATATTTAATTTTTGCCCAGTGAAATCGGCGCGTAGCTTTTCTATCTGAGGATTTACACTAAGATAGGATGTTACTGAATCCCCCTTTCAGGACTTTCTGCCAGACATTGTGATCATCTTCACATTTTCAGTTGTGTTTAGCTAGCCTATTGTGTTACATATTCTTAGATTCAGAGAGAAAATGGGTACAATTTTAATTTACAGAAGTAACTTACCACTTTAAAAGACTACTGAATTATTTGCCCTTCTTGTTATCCTTTTATTTTGTTACCTTAAGTTAGATGGCACTGTAGAGAAAGCTCATTTCGTGTCTTCAGACCTCAGCTGTGTCTTGGAAGGAACAGGTTTTCATAAGCAATTATTTTAGTGACATAATGGTTGAAAATGTCTATGTTTTAGTCATGCTTAACTGACTACTTGACTAAATCCTTTTTAACATATTGTGAGTATTGAGAGTTGTTTGGTCAGTTGCAGGTGGAACTTTTCAGTGCTATTTTATGAGTTGGTATTTGTAGCTGAATACTGCCAGTGAAACCTATTTACAAAAGGAGTAGGAGGAGGGAATATTGGGATTTTGATGTGCTGACTGTGCATCTGTAATCTGCAGATGGCCTAAATAGCACGATTATTTGAAGTTATGTTGGCAAATAGGGTCAAAGCAAGCAAAGCATCTTTATAGTTTCACTAACCATATGGACAGTCTCTGTTGCTAGCCTTTGAAAAGTCAATTGCATATACTCAGTATGAGGTTAGAATCTTCCCTGAGATCTAGTCCCATCAATCTGCTGAGCACTGAGCACCCACTTTGCCACCATTGAACTTGAGTGCCAGCAGCAGCGGTTGTCGTCTTCACATCTGTGAAAGTAGGTGTTGGATGGAGAGCCAGAAAAACAGGATTGTGTTCCACTCCTGGGTTTTCTCCTTACTGAGATTAACATTTCTGAGAACTTCAGCTATTTATGTTGTATAGACTTTACATTTAAGAAACGGGATTGGAGGATGATCTGTTTCTTTATTGGAATGTGGAATAATTTTTGGGTGTCTAAAATCAATATACGTTGATGGATTTTACAGAAATTAATATGGTTCCAGATGGAGACTATTGGAGATGAACTTCCTTCCAAGTGTGTCTTTTCTTGTTGAACCTTACAGATCAGTTGCAAAATCTGTTATTAGGGCAGATTACTACTCAGAAATAGAGGACTCCTTATTCCTCTCCCTTGACCATCTATAACTGTGTTTCCAACCAGAAAAGTACTGTGAACAATTCTGTATTCAGTAGCACTCAGACTTCACCGGGTACTTTCATTAGGTCTCGGTAAGAATAGCAAATGTGTTCTTGCGTGCTTAAATTGAGACTGAAATCTAGGAGACCTGATTTCTATTCCTGGCTCTCCTGAAGGTGTCCTGTATTGTTTTGGGACAGAGTGTGTGAATACATTTGAACATAAGACCTTCATAAATCTTCTGTGAGAAATGTTATGATTGTCAATTCCTAAGTTCTGGATGTGGGGTTTTCCTTTAGCACTGCTGATTAAATGGACCGTCCCTTTATGCCTTAGATTTAAGTGTAACAATTTGTTTGGGTTTGGGGTTGTTTTGTAGGAGGATAAAGACACTGATTCCACTAAAGAGCCTTTGGATGACTTATTTCCCAATGATGAAGATGACCAAGGACAAGGAAGTAAGTTCACTTCAAATTGCAATGTTAGTGTATTTCTGCAATGCAGATGCTCTTTACAAAAATGAATCAATGTTTGGGGTCCTCTGGGACACAGCGGGAGTGGTGAATGCCTCTGCTAGGATAAGGAAACCAGTCATGGGTACACATGCTACGCACTAATATGTACAGAACCAGGGCATAGGTTTTTAAAGAGCTTACTAGCTGTTGTGAAGTTCTTGGAAATTACTTCAGTTCAAAATTCGTCCCACAGTCTTTCCTGTGGGCCTCAGAATGGAAAAGGTCTGTTCCAAGTGACTGAGGCAGATTCTGAAACGTAGAAGCTTTTTGATGGTCTGCCCAAATGTTGAAATCTGTTAACGACCTTTTTAATGATCTGATTTAGCATTTTGGGGCGGGTTTCAGTATGAAGTCTTTCTTATATAATCTTCTATCGTTTACTGAGGTTGTCTTCCTTAGTTCTACTACTCATTCTAGCAGTACTGTCTTCAGGTCAGAAGGTCTGATGAATATGCAGTGAAGTTTGAGGTAGAGGTTTGGTAGCATGATTAAAAGAAGTCATTAATAGATAAGCCTTGCTTAGTGAATGTTGTTTTCTGTATGGGTGTAAAGCTAACACTATGATATCAATACATTATATTGTATATATGCAGTGTACTAGTAGTATAATGGTTCTTGGTAGACAAATGACTTTAGAAAAAAAATGTCTGAAGGGTCACACCTCTGTAATCAGCAGAGTTTGGGATTTCCTTCATGGGCACATACACTGCATTCTTGATAGTATGGTAATACTATCCATAGCCAGCAACGGAAGGAAGACTTGAAGAGTTTAGAATGGGTTAGTGTTGACCATGAGCTCCCTCCTGAGCTCATCCTTGCTTCCCTAGAATTCTGTAGTAGGAAAGTTGAATGGCAGAGCTGCCTATAATACCTATAATAAAGTCCATCTACTTTATTTTGTTTTACAAAGACAAAGTTGACATGTCAGTAATTTCCTTGGCCTCCAGGAAAAATACTGAAATGCTTTGTTGCTCTGGTAGGCAGTGATTGTGGGTGTAGGCTTGGCAGTGTATGATTCCACTGGCATAAAAAGGCTCCCACTTGCTGTGAGAGTGTTTTTAGCCTAATAGAAAGGAGAGAAGAAGGTCAGGCTCACGGCTGGATCCCTTATCCTGTGCAGTGTCTAGAATGTAATGAAAATGAGTAACAGGGAATTCTCTCAATCTTTCCAGAAATCTCCCAGGTGAAGAGGAAAAGGATAGTAGATTTTTGGGGGGAGTGGGAAGGTGGGTGTTGCAACAACCAAAGGTTAGGAGCTACTGGAAAATAAGTGGCTAAGTCTGAGGGTTAGTAAGTAAAACCTAAAGGTTGCCACTGGCTTTGATGGCTCAATGCCTTTTCTCTTGCAACTGTTATTTATGGCATCCAAGGTGTTTTAGTATTTTGTGTGCCAACCTTAAGTTCTCCTTGGTACAGCAAACAAAGGGAAACAAAATTTGTATGTTTAGAGAAGGAAAATAGAGGAAAAAGGACAAATCATTTGAGCTTTTCTGCAGGTATTTGGCTTGTTAATGTTATTTTCCATAGGGAAATGTCAATATTTGTAAGTGGAAAATTATTATATGATCTTGAGAATTCTTAATGATTTGCCGAGCTGAAATAATTTCCTACTTTCTTCACTGGTTTATTACATTTGGCCCTTTGAGCTAAGAGAAATGTAAAATAATACAATACTGGACAGAATATGAAGAATAAAATGGTCCTGTTTTCACTATCACGGTTCAAGACAGCATGACTGCTGTGAAGAATGTTCTAATACTAATGTTTTGTATTGAAGAAAAAAAATTCAGTGAGTCTCATTTTGCGTTGTTGAGCAGTCATGTTAGATGTTTTAGTTACAGTCATCTTTTGAACAACTTGGAATATTCTGGATTTCTTTCAGTTCAACAGCAGCATAGCAGTGCAGCAGCTGCTGCCCAACAAGGTGGCTATGAAATTCCAGCAAGATTAAGGACCCTTCATAATCTTGTTATTCAGTATGCTTCCCAAGGTAGATATGAGGTTGCCGTACCTCTCTGTAAACAAGCTCTTGAAGATCTGGAGAAGACTTCGGGTCATGATCATCCTGATGTTGCCACTATGTTGAACATACTTGCTCTGGTGTACAGGTTTGTATACTGGCATAGATAAATATCAGTTAAATAGTTAATATTTGTGTACAACCTGGTCGGACTAACATTTTTTTGACTCTTTTATTTTCCATTCCATTTGTTTTCTATTCCCTGTTTTTCATTAAAACCTTCAAGAGGGTCCTGCAATGTTCATACGTCTCCCTGTATTTAGAAGTCAAACAAGTTGATGAATTTTTGCCTATGCTTTTGCTTTGGGAGTGAAACTGGTTTTGATACTCTTTTTTTTTTTGTCTACTGAGGGGACATATCTTGATTACTCACAGATAATCTAGAGGTATAAATTGGACAGCAGTGTAGTAGTAGTACATGCTAGTCATCAACCAGCAAACTACAGTTACAGGCTTCAGGTTTTTACTTCCTGTTTTCTGAATATATTCTCAATTACTTTTCTTTTGTACTAGGACATTTAGGCCAGTACTGAAGTCAGCTTTATTTTTATGACTTTGTTTTCTGAATCCCTAGTATTAATTATGGCTCTTTAAAATTTAGAGACCAGAACAAATACAAAGATGCAGCAAATCTCCTGAATGATGCCTTGGCTATCCGTGAAAAGACTTTGGGCAAAGATCATCCAGCGGTTTGTATACATACAATATCATATATTTAGCTGTGTGTTTCACTGAAGTTTTTTCAACTCATTCTAATATTAAACTCAACAGGAAAGTTTTTAAGACCTGGCTTATCTCTAAACAGTACAGGTAGGAGGCCGCAATGTAACATTCTTCACTTTCTCTTAAATATTTAATGTCCCTTTTGAGCATTATATTCAGTGCTGTTTCACCACAAATGACTCACACATGTTTGATTTTGGATTGCACGGATTTTCTATGGGAAACGAATTTGTGAAGAAAAATTTTAATTTGCCTGCTCAAATTACTTTATTAAACTCAGATTGAAGGGGTACTTCTGATTTATTTTCCTGCTGCTTTTAAATGAAACATAAATCAAGCTTTGGCACTTAGTGTTTAAAATTAATGTGATATCTCACTTCATGTAGCTTGTGTGAAACAGGGCAGCTCTAAATATAGATGTCGGGCAACTTTGTAAGAGAAGAACATATGACGAAAATGCATGCACAAAATAACATTTCCAAAAATGAAGCAGGAGTATTTAATGATTTTGTTTTTTTCCTTTCCTTGTTTGTATATGGATGCATTCAATAATAATTGTTTCTTAATTTACAAATTCCAAGATGTCTCCTCTTGGAATTTGTAAACATCAGTACATTTCAGCAACATTGGAAAATTTGAAAACATCAGTACATTGCAGATGTGTTCATTTGTCAGATATTTATATCAGCAAATTCCAGTGTAATTAGTATTTCTCAACTGTTGGCAGGTGGCAGCAACTCTAAACAATCTTGCAGTACTTTATGGTAAACGAGGAAAATACAAAGAAGCTGAACCATTGTGTAAGCGAGCTCTGGAAATCAGAGAAAAGGTATGAGTAAAAGAATACATCACCTTTGAATGGATTATTTGAGGGAGAGGGAACAGTTAAACATTTCCGCTTTTTTAATGTTTTGATTGGGTAGATCTGCCAGATAAACCACAGTTAGCAATGCCCTAGTAGTTAGCAATATCTGAAATTCAAAATAGTGGTAAATTCAATAGTCCTACAGAGCTGTTGGAACACTCTGGGTATATCCTAAATTCTGTATTTTGTAATTAACCTTCTTTACCTTTTTCTTTCCCCTTTGATGTTTAAGTAATCTTTGATTTCGCAAGAGCATTGGGATTAGAAATGAAACATCATTAAAATTTTAAAGTTGGTAATTTCATGACTCTCTGGATATTTATTCTAGTCCATGAGACTGAATGCCTGCATCTTCAGGCTTTGTATAATATGCTACCTATACTGTTTTAATACCGCTTACATTATTCCTGTTATGAATTGTTCTGGAGCGTTCTCAGTTTGTGATATAATTGAGTAATTTTCATATTTTTCAAATGCAAATGTTGCCCTTCTTATCCTCGTGTTGATGAGAAATAAGAATGAATGGGCTACTTCTAAGCTCTAATATGATGATTGGAGAATGTTTTAATACAAGGTGTTTAATTTCCAGGTCCTGGGGAAGGATCACCCTGATGTTGCCAAACAATTAAATAATTTGGCTTTACTATGCCAGAACCAGGGTAAATATGAGGAGGTTGAATACTACTATCAGAGGGCCCTGGAAATTTACCAAACTAAGCTGGGACCAGATGATCCAAATGTTGCAAAAACAAAGAATAACCTGGTAAGCCTTTTATAAAGTAAATCTAGGAAAAAGTAAAATTTTCTGATGAATTGAAGTGTACCTTTATTCAGCATGTATTATATTTATTATTATCAAGCTAAATAAAGCAGTGTGCTGATATCTTTTTTGGGGGTGTTTTGTTTTTAGGCATCCTGCTATCTAAAACAGGGCAAATTTAAGCAAGCAGAAACTTTATACAAAGAGATTCTTACTCGTGCTCATGAACGGGAATTTGGCTCTGTAGATGGTAAGAGACTGAGTCCCTTGATTTTAATGTATGTTTCATTTTTGTAGTTATGAAATAAAACCTGAAGGAAATTAATGGCATCCTGATTAAAACTGTTGTCTGTTTGAGGTAGACTTGAAAAGTGAAATTATAGATGTGTTGAAGTACATTCATCATAAGAAAGCATTTATTAGGTACAGCAGTAATGTTTGATTCAAAAGGAGAGTTTTTCTTACATGAGGTAGACTTTGGGAGGTTTATGTTTTATGGATTGTATTTCTGGTGTAATTTGTCTTCTGCCCAATCAAACCCAATTTTGATATTTTTATAGAAGCCGGAAAAATGTATGTCACTTTCTAGTCACAGAAAGTCAGTGCAGGATTTTTAATGGTGTAATAAATATATTGTCAATGTGAATACTCCATTAATACATTTAAAGAATGGGGAAAATACTCTTAAATTGTGAATTACAGTGTACATTGAAGTCAAATGCATTTTATCAACTGTAAATTATACTGAAGAATTTTCACTGCATTCCATGACAGCATATGCACCACTTAGTAGATTTCAAAACAGTTGTTATGATAAAAGAAATAACTGTGGTTTTTAAGACAAAACTAGGCACGTGACAAATCGATTGCAGCATATACTGACTTAAAAGCTTCTCAGAAGTAACTATTTCTAAGTTCAGATAAGAAAAGACAGCAGAATTGGAAAACTGTAAAGGGAAGAGGTGCATGTTTTGTTTATCTGCTTCTTGTAGTATGGAGAGTAAGCTTTTTTCTGGTGGTAACAGTATAATTACCTAGTTTAGAACTTCATTTCAGAAGGGTAAAAGTCAAACAATGAATACTTTGTAATTTTGTGCTTCTATAAAACATCTTCTTCTGTTTCATCAGATGAAAATAAGCCTATTTGGATGCATGCAGAAGAGAGGGAAGAATGCAAAGTAAGGCCATTGTCATAAAACCTTTTTGGAGCTTATACTTATCTAAGTTGCAAATCAGTTACTTTTCAATGTTACTTTTGTTTTAGGGAAAGCAAAAAGATGGCACATCTTTTGGAGAATATGGGGGCTGGTACAAAGCTTGCAAAGTTGACAGGTGGGTAGTTTCTTTACAGGACAAACAACACGGCAATACCCAGTATCCAGAAATGTCAAATTAAAGCATATTTAAAAATGTAACCAAACCAGCTGCTTGCTAGAACCTTATAAACTATAATAATAAAAATTCAGGCCCCAAGAATGGGTTTCAGGAACACAGTAGCAGTTTTCAAGTCCTGAGGCTGCTTTTAATCTAGGCTGTTAGATCTAGTAAGTGACATAAAAATGCAGCAGTTGTGTCCTTGTCAGTCCTTCATGTGGAAGCACAGGTAACCTTTCTTTCTTTTTATACCGTTGGTTGGCATACATGCTCTCCCTGCTCCAGCAAGACCTCCTGAGAGGGCCAGAAGCAAAAAGGAGACTGTACAAATGACTGAGGCTTGAGTTTTCTAGCTGGCACAAGAAAGTAAAGTTAAACTACCACAGTTCAGTCTTATTTGAGGATTTAAAGCTTGAGCAATATAGTTTAGTGTGAATGAAAACGTGTGTATGTATTTTAAAATGGAAGAAGAGAAACAAGGACTTCAGCTTGGATTATACTTAGTGAAATACTTCTTTTGTTTGCTTTAGTTTTGTTCCTTAACTGCCTTTCTTGTAATGTGCAGGTGTTGCAATGTAAGAAAAAAACCTGCACCTGCTACTAATAATGTTCAGTGAGGGTTTTTAATTTCTTCAATGTTTGAATTCCTGTATTTAACAAACAACAGAACCTTTGTACTGTTGAAATCTGCTCTTTTTTCTCCATCCTGTCTGGGTGCAATACATTTTGTTGGTTTGTTTTTCATGTACTAGTTCATTCTAATACATGAGGAAATCTTTTCTCTGCTGTTACTGGAGCAAAACTTCACACAATACTGTGACTGAGCTAATTCTCATCGTGTCATTGAAACAAAATGTCTTGTTGGAGTGTGAGACTTGTTAATGGAATGTGTGATTTTTTTTTTTTTTTTTTTTTTTTTTTGTCCGTCATTGTTCAAGTGTAGTTTGAATGCATAAAAACTGCTAATAGGTATTAAGTAAAAGCTGATGAAAGGAACTGTTAATTTGTTTTGTGACTAACACATGCTACAGTAATGGTCGCTATGCATGAGTAGGCATATTTCCTCAAGCTTCACAATTATTCAGTTGGACACACTAAGACTGAGCTAAATTTCACCTCAAGATGCAGCTGAGAAACAAGAGGATGTAGAACTCCAGTTTTCTCTTGAGTAGGTAGATCTAGAGGCTAGTTACTAACTTTCAGTTTCATGGCTGTTGACTAATCATAGTGTGAATCATTAATGCACTTTGAAAGGGGTTAATAGATTTTTTTTTTTTTTCTGCAAACATGAAGTATAGTATATTTTGAGAGACACTTATTAAATAATTATCAGAAAAAGATAAATACTGCACTAACTTAAGTTTTTATTAGTTTGTGAATTAAGAAGAGTTTAGTGTGCGTGTGTGTATATATTACTTTTTTTTTTTCTTTAAATAGTCCAACAGTAACAACTACCTTAAAGAACCTTGGGGCACTTTACAGACGGCAGGGAAAATTTGAAGCTGCTGAAACATTAGAAGAGGCAGCAATGAGATCTCGTAAACAGGCAAGTATGAAAATTCACCTTAGTGATATTTCTACGTTGTGGTCATGCAGATTTTCAACTTCAGTACCTATCATACAGGCAGAATACATGAACTTTTAGCTATTTGGTGTCTGGTGCTTGGTGTCGCCCTCTAATTTCAGTCTGACATGGTGATAAGCCAATACCATCTTAATACTCAGAAGCTGGGTAATTGCTAGGGCAGTGGCACCATGTACTGGGGGCATGGTTCAAATTGGTGGTGAAATTATGTGGAAAAAAGAAGAGCTGTTCTATTTTTAATGAGGAGCTGTCAGACTTAGAAATGTTCTGTTTCTGCATACAACTGACTGACTGGTGCAGACCTTTAGAAGACCGTTACAAATTTATCAGTTGCTGTTTGTTACTTTTGCAAACCAGTTGGATGGATATTGCAGTTTGAGGGGACTGTTATTCTTTTAATGTAGAGAAGTTTTGTGCTGTTTCTGGGCTCTCAAATCTGCTGTTCGAGTAACCCTTTCTCAGTCTTAGAAGGTGGGAGAGAGTTTGGTTTTGTTGGGGATTTATTGGCTTTTTGATTCTCCTTTCCCTTTTAGATGATTTGATACAATGTCTTTTATAAAAGTACATAAGACTGGACGAGTAAACATGGCTTGTCAGTGTTAAAATGGAAAGCAAAATAAGAAAATATAAATGAATAAAAAAAACCCTTGGAAAGGTCAATTCTAATTTTTGTTTTATGTAATAGTAAATAAGATTTATATTTTTTTTGGAAGTGGTTTGTTTTGTTTCTTATATGTCCGTGTAAAATTCTACAGTAAAGTTCTAAATTTTTGTAAACTGACTTAGGTGATGGACCATATCTTTATCAAAGATGTATTGTTTTTACTGGTTACGCTGTTTTGAAGTTGTATTTTAAAGAATGATACTGCAGTGTTTGTATATAGAAGCAGATTTCTGGAAAACAGAGAGAGCAAAAAAGCTCCTGGCAAGCTTCATGCTATTTAGTGAATTCAGCAACAGTTCCCTTTGATACAAGGTGGCGTAAGTTCTTTCTTCCCCCCAAAATTCTGGAAAACTTGTGAGCGTTTGTCAAAAAAATGAAATCGGTAAGAGGAAAGTATGAATCTGGGAAGAGTTACTGAGCAAGGAAAATTCAAGGGTGGGGGTAAATAGCTGATACAGATACTTTACTGAGGATGATTTTCACATGCTTTTACTGAAGGTTCATTTTTGGTGTGTGTCTCATTCAAATGTGATTTGGAAATAAGAAATGAACATTCACTGCATCCTAATATGTTTGCTTTGGTTCTTTGTTTGACTGTTGCCATCACACATTTTTTAGTGTGAACAGATACAACGAGGTTAAATTGGCATAACATGATAGTAATAAGAAGACTGGAAGAGAAATTAGCTTGTAGTTTTGTTTGTTTACTTTTTCCAAAGTAGTAAAACAGATCACCAACTTTTCCGAGTAAAAATCTGAACTTGCAGCTTAGAATTAATTATTTGAGAATTAAGAATGGGAGGATATTGCTATTGGAGAAGTCTCTTTTGGAGTCCCTATTTAATCAGCCCATTTCTGGCTTGCCAGTACCACTGCAAAAACTGTTCTTTGCCTCCATGTTCCATAGAGCCTGCTGGAGGCTTGCTGCTGCTACTTTATTTTTATTAAGCATGCTTAATAAAAAATGATTTTCATTGATGCATCGTATACCATCACACCATCACTCAGCACTAGCTTTGGACATGTAGGAAGCAATGCTGTTTTACTAGCAGCATTAAACACTACCTCTCTAGTCTAGGTCATTAAAGCAAAGGAGAACAGACAGGGTTAATTCATTTCCCATTTTCAGCTAAAAGCAAAGAGGTACATTTGTTCCCAGGTGTGGAAAAGCATCAGTCCTCCACAGCTCTGTTCTCCTTTATGCATGTTTTGTTTGCTTTAGCTGCTGGGATGCATATGCTAGATTTTTTAAGACCAGAGAAGTTCTTTGTCCTTCATCTTTCGTGACAGAATTGAACAAACTGGGAAAGTGCCTGTCCTTTTGTTTTGTTTTGAACATGTGATGTAAATGAGACACGATAGCTTTGGAGCAGAGCCTAGAGTCTGTATGTGATACATCACCTCCTTAGTGGTGATTTTAAACAGTTTGATGCTTTTTGTGTTTTGTGCTGCTAAAGGGGTTGGTGCAAAAGCCATTTTGAGCCTACGCTTCTCTACTGTCTAAGAGCTCTAGCCACTTTTCTGCACCATACAGCCAGAAGGAAGTGAAAATATGTGATACTTACGTGTTGATTTCATGCTTCCTTGTGTGTAGAATTCCATTAGGGAGGGCTGTTCTGCTCTTCAGTTAGTGGAAAGCAGCTGTGTGGGAACCAACAACCTGATTTCTCCATGCCACTAAAACAACTTTCGTTCTTATTCACATACTTAACTTTTAAATAGAATTCTGGCATGATTTTCACTTTCTGTATTGTGGTAGACTTTATGGATTTGTTGCACAGATCCCCTGCTGCATTTTCTGCTAATGCTGTACAGTGGAAGATGCAGAATATTTTCTTATGTGTAGGGCATTCATCTGGGATCTCTTTCTGTCAGCAAATACTCTTTCTGATGTGGAGTAGGTTTATTATAAAGAAAACAAAACAGAAAATAAGTATGATTTGAGCTTTGTTACTTTCTAGTTTGTGTTAAAGATTTTGCCTTTATTTTTAGTGCAGGTCTTTCATAGAAGGTATTTTAGCACTTTTAAGACATTCAAAGGATTATGTGGTAATTGATGGGCATTCTTTATCACAAAGTAAACTTATTTACCATATATAGTCTGTTCTATTATAAGCTTATTTTCTATTTGATTTTTTTCTGAAGGATAAATTATACTACTGTGTCATATGTCAGTATTCTTAAGTAACACGATCTGTATCTTAAATACTAGATATTTAGACACCTCTAATGTTCTTTCCAAAGGTGGGTGAATGCTACACCCTTTGCTAGGTGGAAAATTGAGAATTGCATTGACTGTTTATGATCTATAAATTGCTTAAATAGAAAGCTGGTATCCAGATGGCTTCAGGTAAGTGACACGAACACCACGGGGCTTTGACAAGTGATAGGGAAGGAGGAAAGGGATGGCAAGTCATTGAATTCTCAAAGTACCAAACTGCTTTGTCTAGGCCATGCTGTGTTGATTCCTGCAATGTATAAGGGGCAACTCATCTTAACAGCCCTCTGAAAGCGGAACCAGGGTGATGGTGTTAAGGGTCGGTTTGACTTTTTTCTTGATATGATTACTGTGTGTAAGTTGTAGATTAATACAGCTGTAATAAAATAAAACCTTTTCCCATTTTATCTAATTCTCAGGGTCTTGACAATGTTCATAAACAGAGAGTTGCTGAAGTGCTGAATGACCCTGAGAGCATAGAAAAAAGGCGAAGCCGAGAAAGCCTCAATGTTGATGTGGTAAAGTACGAGAGTGGTCCTGATGGAGGCGAGGAAGTGAGTATGAGCGTAGAATGGAATGGGGTAAGTACAGTACACAGTTTAGGAAAATAGCCTAGATAAATTATCACCGTGACAAATACGGTTGTCCATTCACCAGCCTACCGTGTTTTCAGTAGTTTCGTGGTTGATTTACATTGTGTTTTGTAATTTTGCAGGATCAATTAAGAGATGAATAATTAACATTTTGTTTATCATAACATAATGTAAAAAAAGGGTAATATTTTAAAATTTTAAAACATCCTTTCTGTTGTTGTCCTGAATGGTGACATTTTTTCAAGAATCCCAAGCAGCTGTATTTAAGTTGTTTAATGCTGATTGAGTGTCCTGGTTATGGTCTGGTGTACAATTGCTTGTCAGTGGTTTCTTTTTACTGGTAGAAATAGTCTGGCAATTAACTTACTTTTGCTTTTGTCCTTTTGATGTTGTATTTGCCCATATTTTAAATGTTTCTTTAAAAATACTGCATCTGTTGGAATCACAAAGAACTTAAGCTGTGGAGATGTACTGTTAGCAGTTTTAGAGTAAACTGAAGTGATCAGTCTAACACTAAAATAATTCCAATCTCCTCCTTACACAGCTTGTTAGAGGAAAGAATGTAACTGCTAAAGCTGCTATACGATCTATTTTAAGAGGCAGTGCCATCATATAACAATGTGATACTAAGTGAAATATTAATATCACTTTCCTTTATTAAAATTTTACTGGAGTCAGGGCTTGTTCCTGTTTATTTCCCATATATTGGCTTCACTGTATAACACTGATTGTCAGAAAGTAAAAACACATATATAATGTGGTTACATATGCATTCAGTTACTGATGCATTACATATGCTTTCAGTTACTGATCTGGCTTATGTAGTTTGCTTCTGTCACCAGCTTTCCCATGCTTTATCCCATTGCCAGCAATGGGATGTATCTTGCACTGTTAACTCCCAGCTGCAGTTCTGCTGAAAAATATTCTGTTAGATTATAAAAGTGGTGTTGCCTGCTTTTGCTGTATGGGAGGGGAAGTAGCCTACTTTGCAATATTGAGTGTTCTGAAGTTTCATTTCTTTTATGATAGAAGTATTTTTTTTTTCCTTCTGCTTTTTGTTAGCCACGTGAGACAAAGTTTAGCATTCCAAAGAAACCCTGATAAAACACATACTGCTTTTGTCTTAAACAAGAATGTTCTTTCCATCTTTGCTTTTCTCTTTATTACTGTTTTCTTGGCATTGGTGTTCTCAGTGCCAAGACAGTCAATCAGCATCTATTGCGAATAATACTGCATCATTAATAAAGCCAAAGTAAGGTCAGATAACTCTCTTTTTTAATTCTCATTTTGCCCATTCAGCATTAGAACTGTGTACTGTACTCTTCCCTTAATTTTCGCTGTACTTTGCATGACTATATATTCTAAATGGATTAAATTTTTTTCTGTTATTGACATCAGTTAAACAAGCATGCAGGTTTTGGATTGAAAGGACCTTCTGTGGAAAAATAATAGACAGTATTTCTAGGTCAATATTTGAATCAAACTCACTGATAAAATTTGTGGAAAAATTAAATTTTGACCTCTCAGGGCAAACAGACTTTTAGTGTGCTGAAGTGGCATTGCTTTATTCTCATCTTCATAATTTCTTTTTTCCCCTCTTAAGGTATTTTGTATTACATGTTTTACATAAAGTGGGCAACTCTCTCTCCCTCTACCCTGTTAATGTTTCTATCTCAGTGTTGTTCTTCCCTCTACTTTATATTATGTAGTTTTTTTTACTCTCATGTGTTTCCTCCAGACAAAATATTCTGATTCATAAAATATAGTAGAATTTTTGACTTCAGTGTGCAGAGCCTGAAGAGGCGCCTGTGTTTTCCATTTAAATTCTTCTGAAGTGGTCAAGGTAGCTCATGTTCTTGGCTGTCAGAGAGAACAGGTGGAGCATGTAAAGTAATAAATGAGAAATTTTTGTTCCAAGATCTGTTGTAATTAAGTGACTTCTGTATGTAATGTAATCCATATTAAGCATTATATACTTTGTTGTAATGTCTTACACTCTGACAAAAAACTGAAATATCAGTGGAAGTAAGTCTGCCATTAACTATTAAAATGCATACATTAAGTGAGGTTGTATAGTGCATGTTTACACATTTCTTGTAAAGTCCATCCCTTAAAGTTAACAGAAGATACTTGAAAATGGAAAAAAATACTTGGTCTTAATTCAAGGTAGAAATGCCAAGATTTGTATCCCGTATTTTTTTTTTATATATATAAAAATGACAATGGGTATCTGTAATTGGCATTTTTCTAAATTGATCTTGCAGCCAGTTGCAGGACAGACAAAAATCTTTGTGATATAGTGCTTAATTAAAGGTAATTTTTCTTAGTGTGAGGGAGTATCTTTTATTATTCTAACTCAATGCTTCAAAAACCCAAGCTTTTGGGCACATAAGTCAGCTTTCAGGTACGAAACGAAAGCAATAAATTTCACTACCATAGACTAGCTGATAGGAGTTGCTCTTGTTTAATAAGTGTTAGACAGTCAGAAGGCCATTGTAGCAGACAACTACAAAGTACAGGAGATGAGGATAGGGATGTGTAAGCAAAAGTAATAAGGTGTTTCTCATCCAGAGGGACATAAAAATTGGCAATTAAACTTTGGCAATTAAACTTTGCCATAGAACTGGATATCTCTTGTGATTTTTTTTTTTTTTTTGTTGTTTATGCTGGATTTAGGAAACTTCTTTTATACTAAACTTACATTTTAAATGTGTTTTGTTAATCATGGAGTGAGTGTTTAACTTGAATTCAATGTTTTTATTTCAGATTTGAAGTACCAAAAAGCTTGTCTGCTTATTCTTAATGTGCTAGTTAGCATAATAAAAGTTATACTCTATACCTACCAAATTTGTCTTGCCTATCATTATCACTACTATAGCATCCCTGCCTTAAGACCATAGGAACAATTAGTCTTTTCACTGATCTGATAGTTCTAATTGGAATTTAGACTTCAGTTCATTCAATCCTGCAAAGCTGAAGTCTGGTTTTAAGTATGAACAATATATGCAATTTAGTTTGAAAAATAAATACTCAGTTACATCTCGATCTTCTGATCACTTGGTAGCAAGGCATTTTACTGTTTCCAAGAATAATTTTAATTACTGTTTGTTCCAGTTGCTTTAGGTAAAGGCTCTCAAAACAGTTACCTTAGGATTATCAGTAATGGTCTCTGTACTTACACCGAGAATGGAAAGTGTAAATTGAACCACAGCTTATTTCTAAAGGTAAATTCTTTCAGCTACCTCACTGCATTAGGGAAAGTAGAGAAGTTTCCACTTGGATTGTATCTATATACACAGTTATGTTCTGAAAAATACTCATGAAACTGAATTGACGCAGGTCAGTTGGATTCTAGTTCCTTAAAGGAATGAACAGAATTTTGTCTGGAGGTTAAGGGGAGATCTCTTTCTTCTTGCAGTTTTGTTTCAAGGAAAATTTCTGACAGAAGTTAAAGCTGAAATGAATGCACCTTGCTCTGTCCCTTTCTTCTGTTTTTTTTTTTTTCCTTTATTTTTATTTTTGTGTTAATGTCAGCTGAAAAAACAATTCTTTTCTTTGTTTACAAGATGTAATACTAAATCTATCCCTTCTTAAAGGTGTTTTGTATATTATACAAATCCTAATTTAAGGAATGCACAGCATCGTTCATGCTCGCTTGTAAGTTGCATATTTGTGATATAGGCCAAACTGTATGAAGATGTATGTTCCGGTAATTGCAAGGGCCTGCACTTTGTCTTTAAGGGCAGTCCAAATACTTACTCTGGAGAAAATTGTTTTGAATGTGACCTAGAAATACTGTTAACATAACTGTTCAAAATTGAAAACTGTTGAATTTTTCCCAACAGTTTCATTCAGTTTTTCTCTCTCCATTTCTGACAGGCCTAGATGCCTTTTGTGATTCTTATACTGTCTCCTGCATGACGGGCGTGCACCATCTTCAAGCTTTAACTTCTCTCTTCAGTACTGACTGCTGTGTTTTAGCAAACCCTTTAAGATTCTTGTCAGAGCTACACTTCCCTGTAAACTGGCCATTCCTTCAGTGCTGGTGTCTTTTTTGGTTTTCTATTTCTGTACATGTGTAGCTTTTCCAGATATGTATCTAGTCATACAAAATGTTATTACAACCATTTGCTGTGTAATACATAAGTTAAAAAAAAAAAAAAAAAAAAAAAAAAAACAACAAAAACAAAGAAAAAAAAAAAACAAACAACAAAGCAAAAAAAAAAACCACACACCAACAACCAAAACCAAGTAACAACGAACTTTATAAGTAGCTGTTCACTATGGAAAAAGGGTAGTTAAAAGTATCACACAAGGTATTATTGAAATGGCATGATGGTGATCTTTACAGGAGAAAAAACAAAACAAAACCCATAAAAGTAAGGCATGTTCTCCAAGTGCTTTAAAATGTATTTAGAGACCTATTACATGGTTAACATCAATATGGAACTCTGGATGTCTTCACTTATGATTATTCTAAAGTAGCATTGCTGTTTAGTCTTTGTGTGAGATTTTGGCAAATATGCTTTTCTCTACTAATCTTGGTGTTCAGTGATTTGTGTATTTGTCTTTCTAACTTCTAATAAACTCACTCCAACTCAGGTGTCTGTCTTTGTCTGCTTAGTAGTACTTTACTTTCTCCTTTTACAATTCTTCTTTCATAATCACAGGATTTCTATGAAGTAGGAAGCGGTCACTTCTAATCTTACTAAACTGTTGGGTTTTTTTAAGAGCAAAACATTGAAAAATAGAATTGTGGTCAATTGGAGGTTTCTTTGGATAAATAACGCAGTGTAAAACATGAATGCGATGTATGAAAAATTCATTTCATCATGTTTTACATTTCCTTTGGTGGAAATTAAAACAAAGCACAGGAATTTAATTATAAATGTTTCTCATTAGAAATATTTTTGTTTAAGGATTTTAGGATTAAACATGCTTGCAAGTAATGCGGATATTTAGAAAGAATAAAACAGTTTTTTTCTTAGACTGACGGAATGCTTTTGCTTGAGGCTTGTACTCTGTTAACGACAGTGCACTCGTATGAAGTGGTGACATGGTGGTGGTGAATTGTTTGACTACTGCGGTGGGTTTTTGTTAATCATTATGAATCATATCTTGAGCCCGTCTTCACATTTTAGAAATCTTTGTTACAGTTTAGAAGGGCACACTTCTGTTTCTGTAAAGTTGTAGCTATATGATATTATGTGTTTAGGTAGTTGTACCAAGTGTATATTAAAAATAATAATAAAAAAATTTCATCAATGAAATGTTTTTGAGCTAGGTTTGGGGGAGGGCAACAAGCTCTCGCAGTTTCACATCTGTTCAATTTTTTTCAGGATGGCACTGGATCTTTAAAACGCAGTGGTTCCTTTAGCAAGCTTCGTGCTTCCATTAGACGCAGCAGTGAGAAGCTGGTTAGAAAGCTGAAGGGAGGAAGTTCACGGGACAGTGAACCAAAGAACCCGGGGTAATTATCTATTCCTAGCTGTGCCGGTGCGCCCTCGTTCTGTGCCCCCCCTGTAGCCTAGGGTAGTACCTAGGGTAGTGTTTTCTTCTCTGCTTAGCTAACTGCATATCATGGAGATTTGTATCTTAAAAATAAACCAGGAAGTAATTTCTTAAACTTATAATGACAGTTCTGTAACATCTGAGGAATTGTATTTTGCTTTCAAGAGTTAACTCAATTTTAACACTATTTTTTCCCCTTTTACTGCTTTAGCCACTTGAAGACTAGATAAGCCTCACAGAATTACTGATAAATGTTAGTTGCCTGCAAAATTCTTTTCACACAGCAGTGATTAATAATAAATGCTGCTGATTTTTACAATAAAAACTTGAATACAGTAAATCCACAACTAGCATTCTTCATATAGGTTAATATTTTGATATATTCTTGATACAGCTTTATATATTGCTGTGGGTATAAAGACAGTTTCTGACTCAAGCCCTTCTCAGTTTCTATTTTTGAAAAAACAGATTTCAGAGCAGAGGAAAATGTTGAAAAACTTGAACTTGGTTGTGCATCTCACCAACATTTTGGCCTCAGTGATGTCACTGGCAAAAATTAAAGTTTTAATGAATCTGGCTTCTCACTCTTTCCTATTTTCCATATGATTATGGGTTTGGGTATATATAATATTTCTAATAAATGCACAATCACATTCCTCATTTAGTGGCTGCTGCAGAGAAGTTGAAATGTTAAAATATACTGTTCTTTTTCATAATAGCACTCATGGTTGTTCCTCTTCTCCCCGAACGTAATGGCAGTCAGTTTTGCAGGGCTATTTCCCCTTGCTGTGGAAAACGGGAACTCACTTAGTTGACAGGAAACTGTATGACAATGTGAATTTGAACCTAGGCTTTAAAACAGTTAAATTGGAGAATGTGTAGTAACTCCTGATAGAGTAACTGCATCTATGAATAATATAGGAGATGATGATGCTGGTGATACCTGAGGCAGCGATCTGGAGGCAGGGTCTCAGTGTGGTTTTGTAAGTGCTCCAATGAAGTTTGGCTTTATTGTTTTTATGTGGCTGTAAAACACTGTGTACAGCTGCAGTGCATGTAGAATTTGTTTCCTTGCATATCTGTTTCAAATTCAGCCTGATCTGATTTTTAGAATTGTTGATTAAAATTTCAGTCAGCTGCCAGAGACTTGATGGTGAAGGCAGAGAATCAAATTCAAGGTCAAAAATCCCTTTTCATTTATTAATATATCATTAAGAATGCCTCTGAGATGACTGATTGGGAATAAACTGTGAAAAGCATGTGATGAGAAGAAGGAAATACATACATGTAAAATGCTTTAGGGAAAACAAGCAAATGCAAGCCAAAATAGAATAAAGGGGATTTCCTTCTTTGTCTTCAGTATTAGTATTTTTATACGTTGGCTTTCTGATTCTATTCAGTTCTGCCTGAAGTTCATACATCATAGTTGAGGTATATTCTTGTATGAATAGATGCACATATATTCATAGCTAATTTTGCATTTTCTCCTAATTTTTGTGAGACATGGAAAGGCTTTCAGTTTCTTATAAGCCAAGAGGTTTAGTCCTTGTTCTCTGTAGTAACTAGAGCTAACTTTTTCTTCCAGTAAAGTAACTCTGTGATTATAGGTGTAGAAAATTATGCTTGCATATAACTGAAGACATTTGGCTTTGCAGTGTCCTGTAAGAACTCCTCTGCCTTTTAACTGTCTGCACTTCAGTAGTGTTATTTGACCAACACAGAATTACCCACGTTAACATTAATTATGTTGTGGGGTCTGTATCACCAGATAAGACTTCCGCAAATAAAGACATTAATGTGAAACAAATCTGAAAACAAAGCAATATCATTCTTACTTTCCCTTTTTGACAAAATATTCTTGGTTTTTGGATGTCACTGTAGTTCTCAAAGAATAATTTATTCTTAAAATTTACAGTAAGTGTATTGCACTGACAGGCTTTTATGTAAATATACATGTTGAGTGTGTAAGATGATAAATATTACAATTTCTGTTCTTATAAGATAGAGGCATTTTTTTAATCTTAATTTATATTAGCTGGTTTTAATAACAAATGCAGAGATTCCTGGTATTAAACACCAGCTTTGTAGGTCATGAAGCACAGCTGTACATACTGATATTCCTAGATGTCATTTTGATTTAATTTTCTGAAGATTTAGTAAATAAAGTTGGTTTTTTCTTTTTTTTTTTTTTTCTGCTTGTGAGTTTAATAAAAGGGATAGTCTGTTTTTATTTGGCAAACCTTCAATTTTTTAGTGAGTCTGATATCTGAATATTACAATACAGACATAGTGCACATAAATAATTTTTGCTATGAAGTCAGCCACTCTAAGTGGAAGACTTATGTGCCTCCCTCCTTACCAGCTCACCTCTGCATTCCCTGCCTAGGTCTCTGTGAAGACTTTATTTTAAAATTGATTTCCACCTGTTGGTTATACTCCTGTAGGTAGCAATTGACAGTGCTGGTGTGATTCTGAGTGAAAAATACTCACATAAAAATACATGAATATCGCAGCATGAAAGACAGACTTAGTTTTCAAGTTGTTGCTTGATACAGAAGGTGGAAGAGAATAAAGTGGAAAACTCAGCAGGGAAATTGTTTCTTTAAAATCCTGCCAAAGCCTGTTTGACAAAGAACAAATCTCTTAAGAACTGTTTTTTGAAACATACAGTACCTGAAGCATGGTATCAGTTCTTTCTTTCTTTATCATATTTCAGAATTGCGTTCTGCAATAATTTAACTTTGCTTAAGTAGTGTTAGGTTTTATTTTTTTCACTTTTAACATTTTTATCATACAGCAGAACAATTTGTAAAAAACATTTTGTAAAAAACAGATTTGTAACTTAAAAAAAACCCCTTTCATTATTGCTATTAATTATGCACCAGAAAAACAACTGCATGCTATTTGTGCAGTCAGGTTTCTAACATGGAGGGAAATAAAAGTGCATTTGCCAGACTAATGTTCTTAAGTATGTTGTTTTTTAAAAAAAAAAACAAACAGGCAAAACCAAACCACCATCCCACAAACAAACTAGTATCTCATGTATAATTATTATTTTTTTTTTCTTTAATTGGCACTTCAGCAAGAACCTAAAAATATGTGTGTAAATTTTTACTGATGGATTTTCTATTTCCCTGGAATGTTTTCCATAAACCTTTACGTTCTTTTGGAGAGTTTTATGTAATGTTTTGTTTGTGTTTTACAGATTAATTTACTTTGATTTTCATATATAACCTCTGTTGTACATGTTTCCTTGAATAAATGAGAGGTGTATACCATGCATGAGTCCTTGCTTTGTTGTTGCTAACACTCATGTCAAATACCTTTAAATTGTGTGCATTCTAGCTTTTGAAAAGTTCAGATTTAGTGCAAGGGAAAACCAGTGAGCCTGTGTTACGTGGCAGCTGTTGCTTGTGTTTGTTAGTCTTTTGGTTCATTATTCTGCTAAGCCTTTGCTTTATGAAAGCATTTAAAACTCACGCTTGACTTTGACTGTTAGTAGTCTTGCTTCAGCAGAAAGAAAATCTGGTTAATATCTAATGTGATCTGTATGGATAAACCTTTCCATGTTGTTGGAAGGCGATGGAAACTGCATCAGCCAGTTGTCTCTCAAGCTGTAGGTAGTCCTGCAGGACTGGGGCCTCGTTGTCTTGTGACTAGTTCATCAAAGATGTATTTAAAGCTGTCATTTAGTAGTTTTGAAGTAGTTAAGTATCTAGTGAAAAAGCAAATGTAGAACACTGAGTAATGTACTGATACTTTGGGATAAAGGACATCAGACATTCCTGTTGTCACCATGATAAGAATCTTGAGGCTAATCTTGAATTCCACTCCACACGCTTTAAAAAATTTTTGTCAAACTTTGTATATATTTGAGAAATACAGATAAATTATTAATCCTCATCTCAAACAGCAGTAGATATTACTGTTAATGCAGTGATATTTTGACTGTCAGTAGCTCCTGTGTAGCTGACTTTTTTTCCTCATGTTTCTTTCAATACAGTATTCCAGGGTGGTGGTTACCACTGCTCTCAGAGCATTGTAAAGCCAAAAGCATAACCAGAGTTAATAGCACCAACCATGTTATTTCCCTTCACTTTGAAATGTTTAAAATAAGACTTTAAAATGCTTTTTGAAAGAGATTCTGGAGACTTACCTAGGTGAGACAGAACGTTCTAAACTAATGTTTGTTGTAGCTTTTCCAAGTTCAATGCTGCCTACTTGACAGTTATTTGTGTTTCACATTTTTTTCTTAAAGTCTCTGAATGTTTTGATGCTTTTGTAAGAAGCTGCGTAAACTTGAAACTGAGAATTAGCTAATTAAAACTCAGTGCTAAGTCAGTGTATTAATTTGATATGCTTTAAAAATGGAGATTTTATTTTGAGTTGAAATGAAACCAGTTGCCTGAAATGTTTAAGTTCTGAGGAGCTTGTCATTTTTTTGGTTTTGTATGTAATTTGGAACCAAATAGAAACATATTCTAAGTTATGTAGTTGTCCTGAAGTGAATCCCTCAGATCAGTTTTGGGGCATTGTTAAAACTCCCTTAACTGTGCATTGCTCGTTGTGATACTTGTGTTTTTGGAGCTGTTAGTTTTCAGCTATTCTGATTGGTTTATCCTTGCATGTTCACTGTCCTGGTTGCAGCATGAAGCGTGCCAGTTCTCTGAATGTTCTTAACATGGGTGGCAAGGCTACTGAAGATCATTTTCAAGTAAGAAGCCCTACAATACTCTTACAAAAATAGGTATCATTAGTAGGGTTTGAGATAAAGAGTATGATAAATAATAAAACAACATACTCCCAGTGATTGGTAAGATCCTGCTTCAGTAAGATGTTTAAAGCATATGGTTAAGGCATCATTCTGTAACACTTCTGTGAATTATGTTTAAAGCAGATGCTTAATTTAAAGCAGGTGCTTAAGTCCCACTAGTAAAGAGCTTAGTTTTTTATGGTATCAAGCAGCCTCTGGCTTTGGACCTTCTAACTATTACAGTGGATGTGAAGCTTCTGGAATCTTAGGTTCTTGTAAACACTACTTAAAAATACAGGAACTTTTAAAGTCTAGTTACTAAGCAATTTTTACTCCAGCCCCTTCATTGCTGTACATTTTCAGATTGCCTTAAACATGACCTCAGTTGTTTCTGAGGTTGTACAGGAGCAGTCTCTGAAAGTTTGTCCCATCTATGTTATGCTTCTGCTAACATAAAACTTCCGTATTTTGCCTAACTGTATATGGTGTGCCCGATTGCCACGTCCTGTTGCCTGTTTTTACCTAGTAGGTTTCTGTTTCTTATATTGTCAAATAAGCTGACAATGTTCTGCATTCTAAACACTGTTGTGCATTTTACTAACACAGTAACTCCAACTGATTTTCGGAAGGTAAAATTGCTTCTGTACTAACAAAAGTGTACATGAGATTCTTCATCACTATTTGTCCTACAGTAGCAAGAAAGCCTAAACTGTGTGGCTGTCGTTTTACTGTTGAGTGGCATAAAGGTGTCTTAACTATAATATCTCTAATCAATGTACTGCAGTTTTCTGTGGTGTGAAATGTATATAAAACTTTGCTTAGAGTGAAGTTCAGCCAAAAAAAAAAAAAAAAATCCAGGGTAAAGCATAATTCTTTGCAGCAACAATGTCAAGGTTTCAAAAGTCCATGCCCCAGGTGCCCCAAACTGGATCAGTAGTATATAGTTGATGTGACTTCCAGAAGAGTAATTCATTGTTGATGTGTACACTGCGACATTAAAATTAGTTTCCACTTCCTGTGAACTTTTCTAGTGCACCCACTGTGGACACTCGTGGCAATTCCCGTAGATGGGCTCTTGCATTTCTGCTAAGACTTGGGTCGGGATTGTAAAGGCTGTATGTACATATCAATAGATCTTACCAGTATTGCTAGTTGAAGGTGGGAAAAAAGATGTTTATTAGAATATGGGGAGGAAAAAGTCCCCCTGCCCAGCATGAACAAGGCCAGTTTTCTGTAGTTCCTCATATTTGTTTGTTCCTGTTTGTTAAAGCTAGTAATTTTGTTTATTTGCTTGAACAATCTGGACATCTGCTTAATTTATTTGTTTGTTTTTTTCCCCTTCACACAGGAACGAAATAATTGTCTGACAGACTCGAGAGCTCTGAGTGTCAGTCATACTGATTTGGCGCATTGAGATTCTTGGACAGAAGCTAGCTAATATTCCTTTGTGAATAAAGAAGCACTGAGACCTTCAAAGCTTTGGTTCCTCATCACTATGTATAGGAACAACTAGTTTGTAGATCCTTCATTGTTTTTGTTTTGTTTTCCAGTGGACTGCTGTTTTTCCTTTTCTAAATAGGGATGATTTTAAGCACTGCATTAGTGGGTATTTTCTTCTAAAGGAAAACGATATAGATCTATATTGCTTGTTGCACTGCTCCCATTCATGTTACTTATGTTGGTTTCTTATAGTAGATCTGAATATTACAGCAGCCAAAAAAATGTAAAAATACAAATGTATTTAAAGCATACCAAAATGCAGGCAAAATTAAGTGTGTAGCAGTAAATATATACAGTGCTGCAATGAGAAAAGGATAAATTTATGTGCATTACTGTATAAATTCAAGTTGAGCATACTGTATTGGTGGGGCTGTCCTTTGCACCACTGATCATTATAATGTTAGAAACGTTAGCTGGCAGAACAGCACTTAGACACAGCTTACTTAACCACTAGACTAAGCTATTAAATTTTCCAGAAGAGATGGTTGGGGTTACATTACATATAGATAGCAGGACTAGCAATACCTGTGACCATAACTTTGATACTTGTTGAGATAAGTCTTAGGGCACAATAGTCAATGGAGACAGGACAGTTCCTGTGGATCAGGAGAAATGGGTAATGTTTTGACTTTTACCTGCTATGGTTGAAGAATACTGAAGTTTTGGACTGCAACTGTCCCAGAGCAGCTGCTGTTGCCTTTAGGGAAACATCAAGCCTCAGGTTGACTTTCTTGCTCTGTCCACTGGAATTCACAACCCCGTTCTCTGTATGCTGAAAGCGCTCCAGCATTTCCGTACGCTGATCCCAAACCCTGCCCCTCTCTGCCATAGCCAGTGACAGCAGAAGCAGGGAACCGCACGCTAGGCGGTTACGCTGCGGAGTGGCTGCTGGGCGAAGGACCACGCGAATCCTGAGGGCCCCGTGGGAGCACTAGATGGCCGTAAGTGGCAAGCAGCTCGTTTGACCACACATCCATGCTCCGTCTACTTACGGTTAATATACATGCTGTCTGTATATAGAACTGCTGCTGGAACTAAGTATGTATGTTTTAAGTATTTTATAGACACTAGTATTTCCTTTTGCTTTTCTGTAAAGCTTGTAATTTTGTTCATCTTTTGTAAAAATCCTTATTCATGTGAAGCTGGATGAGTAAGTAAAAAAAAACAACTAGTGTGCGTACAAATGTATTTGTGGTCACAGTTGTGAGTTGGAAAATGCTGAACGAAATTAACTTTGGGAAAAGCTGGAATATTCACTCAAGGTCAGCGCCAGGTGAAGGAGGTAAAAGAGGGACAGAAGCAAGTTTTTGTATTTGAACAGGCTGTGAAGAGTCATTAGGATTAGTACTTCTTAGAAGTATTTTGACTGGCTTTGCATCTGGCTTTAAGTTGTGTTACGACACCGGATGCAAAAAATTGTATATGTAATGCACTTGACTGTGTTTACCAGGAGGTACCTTATTAGCATCTCTGGAAAGAAAGCTGCGTATGGTATACCTGCTATAAAGACAGTTTAGAAACAGTGAGATACGATGCTGCTAATATGTAGAAGTTTTAGCACAGAGTAGTGCAATTCCTTAATGAACTTGAGCAAGAGCAGATTGTTGCTCAGTTACCTTAACAATATATACTCATATAACGTAGACTCTTGAGTTTTAATCTTATTAAGAGCTTTTTATATTAAAAAATACATAATATATATGCTTTTCCCCCCCCTAAAGCAAAGCATGGTCAGCGGGCCCAGCGGGGGGTTCGGGTCTCGGCAGGAACCCGGCCGGGGCCGGCTTTGCAGGAGGAGCCGCGGGGCGGGGGGAGCCCTGCGAGCCCCCCCCCTTCGCCCAGAGCCTGCGCCGTGCCCCCCGGCCCCTCCCCGCCGTGCAGCCGGGGGGGCGGCGGGCGGGCAGACAGACAGACAGACGCCCCGCTGCAGGCAGGCAGACAGACAGACAGACAGACAGACGCCCCGCTGCAGGCAGGCAGACAGACAGACAGACGCCCCGTACCTCGCCGCTGTGTGGAGCTCAGTGCTTCGCTCGGAGACTCTTACAGAAGTCTGGCTGCCCCAAAACCCCACAGAACTATTCAGATGCAGAACTGATTTTGGTGATAAAGAATTACTTAAAAGAAATTGAAGAATGTGTTTTCTACATTCATCTTCCAATTCTGAAGGAAAATTATTTCTGCAGCCTCAAAAAAACCCCCAAACCCCACCTTGTGTAAGTAGCAATAAAATATTTAACCATGCCAGATTACAGTGCACATTAAGTTTTTTTAAATGCAAGACTGTGGTATGTTGGTGGTGATAGTGAGGGAACTTTCTTGTTCAGGATCTTACTGTTGGTGGCATTACTAGTACTGTGCTTTTAAATGTTTTAAACCTTTATATAGTATTTTAAAGTGGGCTGGAAGATTAAGTTGTTGAGCTACTGCTTATTAAACAGTTCTTAAATTTAAAAGTTTTTTTTTTTTTTTTTTTTTTTTCAAACATAAAAATTTCAAGACTTCTCTGATACATAAATCCCCAAGAATGATAGTTAAATCCTTACAGTTATGAGCCAATGAGCTGTTTGCAGTTTGAGAAGAACTTGTAAAGTACAAAAACAAAGTTCAGGTCACCATTCCTTGTGAGTCATGAATGAATTACTGTCAGGACACAGTTTGTATACATTTAAATTTCAGGTGGGCTGCTCAGTTTGCTTTTATGTAAGGTTTTCCTTCTGAATTTCCTCTGTTCCAGTTGCAGCTAACAGTCTGCATAAAGTATAAAACCAGAATATCCAATCGTGTAATTCTTGGAGGTCTTCAGTACCAAACTGAATCAACAGCTCTGATGAAACTGAAAACTAGAAAAGACCTGCAGAATGGACAGACATCTTGTTAGGAAAACTGCAAGCTTTGTAGTGCTGTTGTGTTTTTAATCCAGCCCAGAATTGTAAGGGTGAACTGAGTAAAAAAGTAACGAGGACGCCAGGTTCAGCCAGTTCCTCTGGATTCTCCTGGGGAGAGCGGGTGGTGGTTCTGGGGTAGGATGGGTTGTACATTGAATTCCTGCTGATGGAAGGGTGCCTGCTGCCCTTCTGTCTGCCCGGTGGTGTGCCAGTCTTTAGGAATATTGGCAGTATTTGGTCTTGAGTTTAGGTCTTACTAAATATTATTGTAAAATAGAACTGTTTCATGATTTGCTCCTCTTTTAGAGGAATAACTGAACTATTGCTGTGATGTTTGTACTTGCAGCACTGCAGTGATAGAACGTAGCACTTCAACAACAGAAAAACAACTGAAAAAGTTATCGACAGTTTGTACCTTTTCTTAACCACCATCCCCACCCCCTCCAGCCCTCCAGAATGGTGGTAAATTAAAATGCTTTTAAGCTTGAGAAGTATTTGTGCTTAAATTGTACCACTGGAGTCCAGTAATATTGAAAATGCTGTGGTTCTGCTGTAAATACGTAGTAAAAGGGGTGTGCAGTGCTTCACTGAAAGTGTGTTTACAAATACTTGATGAGCTCAAGTTACTTTAGTTTTTGTTATGCAGGTCATATATTCTGTCTGAAAGCTGCTAAGAGAATTGCATTTTTGGTAATGTTAGCCTGTACTGAGAGAATAAATGTTAAAATATGTCCAGCTGTGAAGTTTACCGTTTCATTGTAGCAACTTTACATTGTCACAGGCTTACAGAAGCATTGGTATAATCATTGGCACCGGTTTTTAAATTAGTTTAGAACTGAGGGAAGTCTTGAACATCTGCATTTGTTTATTTTACGTCCCAAGCCCATTCGCAGTAGTCTCAGTACACTGACCAGTCAAGGTCAATAGTTTTTGGGTTGTTTTTTTTAAAAGCCTGAAACAAAGGAAGAAGCAAAATGCAGTGCCACCATCTGACAGAGGTCAAAAGGCCTGAGCTGTTGAGAAGATGCTTATGCTCACAGTGACCTGCAAAACTGTTCTCTAGTTATGGCTGGTTTTAAATATTAAATACTTAGAGAGTATAGTTGGAAGTTCATTTAATGCTCCAGCTCCATCCTAAAGCTCGAAGCTGCTCTCTTGATTGTGCTGGCACACACAAGTGAGAGAGAGACTAAAAATTGTATCAAGTGTGGAACAGGCACAGTGAGGTAGTTTTTAAAACCAGATCTGTCCTCAGGCTCCCTACAGCTGTACTCAAGTCCCAGTTCCAGCATGGAAAGTCAGTGTGTCTTTAGTTTTAAATTCGGCGGTAGAAGCATGGTACAGGAGTGCTGGTAGCTTCCAGTGTAATTAAGCCAGATGAGTTCTGCGCGATCAGGAATGGTATTTTCTGTTTTCTAGGACCTGGTTTAGAAAATAAAACCCAACAGCAGCAAAACCAGAAAACCATTTGTAATGTCAATGTACTTTTCTGGAGGAGAAATGCCGTTGTCCCCCCCTTCACTCTCCCCCCAGCCCCCCCACCTCAGTATGTGGATTTCGTGTTTGATTTATAAAAATGGTTAAACCTTCCACAACTGGCTTTAAGATGCTGCATTTCGATCTCCATGTGTAGTTACTGCTTGTCACAGCTATGGACAAAATCCCATTCAGAGTTCACCCGTTTGTCTTAGCCCATAAAACTTTGTTGAAAATAAACTTCCCTAAATGTTATTTGTAACAAATAGTAGTAATTAACTGTGATTTCATCAAGAAACTTTTATATGAGATTAGCGTGTTTTATTACATCTGTTTTGTTAATAGGTCAGTTGTGTCATTTTATGTCTACTGAGCACAAATTAATTTGGTTCTGCTTTTCCAGAGCAGTGTTTCCAGAACCCTGTATGTTCTTTCTGCTCAAAAAGGCATCTTTAAATACATCACAGATCTGTAGATTAATTAGAAACTGTTTAAAAGTTTCTTGTCATTTAACATTTCTTTTCAAAGTGTAGAAAAATATTTATATACTTAATACATTCTAGAATGTAAATCTTTGTAAAATTTATTTTAGTTTTTTTTCCTGTAGAGAAACAAATCTCAGTTGTGAAATCCAAAGATGAATAAAGCTGTATAAAGGTTCTTAAATTGCATTTATTGAAACTTAAACATGTTTTAACACTCTTACCGCTAGGCTTCAGAGAGGGCAGAGGCTTTGTTCAGTCTTGAGAGTTTGCACCCCCAAAGCTCTACTCATGTCAGATGAGCAACATCCCGGATTTCTGACTGGGGGTATAAATAACTGCAGAAGGGGGCACAGGCTGCCCCTGAACATTCAACTGCTGGGAGTAGTTGACTGCTGGCTCTAAGCGTGGGGGTCAGCTGCATTTTAGAGGTTCAGGGTTCATGTGTGATGAGTGAGGAAGCCTCCTGCAGCAAGCCCTCCCCTCCCCTCCTGCAGGGTACTCTTGGCAGCTGTAAGCTTCTGGCTGGGGACTTAAATAAGGACCAACCTGGGCACGGACAGGAGGACTTGCTCAGGTAAGATGTTACTTAGGTTTGTTGGTAAAACTGCTTCTTGTCAAGTAAACTGGGACTTTGGTTCCAGACCCATCTCTGACTTCAACACTGAGGTCTGGTTCCTGCACGCGGTCATGTGAAAGGAGCTATCAAACATCACCAAACGGAGCCTTAAAGGATGCATCAAACTCCTCTGAAACTGGTTCACCGTGAGGGAAGCTCCTGGGCTTGGAGCCTGGGCTCTGATGGGGCTCGTTCTTCTGTACCTGAAGGGTGGGTGACTCCTGTTAATCAGTTACATCCATCTCTGGCTTTTTTTAAATCAGTACAGTAGGATGGCCAAGATACTGGCTAAAGTCTCTGTCCCAGGAATGGAGGAGGATAAATGCAGTGCTACCTATGCTGCATTAGTTTATCTTCATTAAAATTGTTAGGAAAGAGGCAGGGAACGGAAAGATGTGAAGAGTGAGGTAGCCCTGCCTCTGAGCTAGGACACACTTTTCCCTTAGATTGAATACAGAAAGACGTCTAAGCTTCATGGTTGGATTTTATTACCAAAAAAAAAAAAAAAAAGCACGGTCATTTTCAAATACAGAGAATCAAGATGTTTTAGAAGAGAGATTTAAAGACAGTGATGCTATTTGCACAAGGTCCCCTTTGAGGACTGTGGGGCGCTCAGAAGGCACCGGCAGCACCTCGTCCATCCCTGCCTGCTTTCAGCCCCTTTGCTGCCAGAATTCCCCCTGAAGCAGTCGTCCCCCCCCCCCGCCTGCCTTCCCCCGGCTCTTCCTTGTGTCACACTCAGTTGTCCTTTGAGAAACCTTCTGCCAGAGAGTTCCAGCTGCCCCCTTGTACAGTCGGACCAACCTTTTCCCTCCTGCCACCCAGCAGCGTGCTTCCTTCCCCGAGGAGAGATGGCTGCTCTGGCCTCGCAGAGGACTGTGTCACTAACAGCACAGACTGAAGAACACAAAGGAATCTGCCCGGGCTTGTCTTTTGCCAAGTCGTGGAATAGTCACTCCTCAGAACTTGCAATTAGGGAAGAGATTTTATTGTTTAGCCTCTGGAGAACAAAAGGTTCTGCTTTTGCCAAAGGACAGAACTGAACACTGTAGCTGCAAAGAACAACCTCAGCCATGGCAGCTTCCCTGGCTGGGGGAACAGGTAGTAAAGGGGGAAATCTGAAAGCTTAACAAGGATGTGATGCAAGTGAGCATCGCACAGTGCACACATACCCCCCTGCCCCAGGCCAAATCAGGTCCGAGGTCTTTGGAAAACATGCACAAGTAACTTCAGCCAGTGTTCTTTCACAAGGAATTTGGCAACGACTAGAAAAAGCAGCAGTTACAGCAGTCTTGAGGCCAACAGAAGAAGATGTGATAAAGAGTGCAAAGATGGAAAGAAAAACAGGTAAAAAAAAAAACCAAACCACCAACCAACCTGAGAAAAGTAACCAGATGGTCAGCAACCTGGATGGAGGCAAACTGCTAAAGGTGCCCTTCAGAAGCACAACTGAGCGAGGAGCCCAGCGGCAGGGACAGGAGCTGGAGCCAACAGAACGCAGAGCTGCACCGGGGTTGGGAAGCACACGGACAGAGGCCTTGCTCTGAAACCACCTGGCTGCACAGCTTCAGCCACGGGCAAACCGAACAAGGGGATCACAGCCTGCTTTGGTATTTTTTAAATGGAAGAAGGTACAGAGGCTTTTGCTACGAGGGAACTGGAAAGCAGGAAAAAGAGTGGAAAAGAACAATTTCCAAAGAAATTGTAGGAGTTCTATGAAGCTAGATACAGTACAAAAGCAGTACAATTTTAATTCTTACAGTAAGATGCTAAAATTGAGTATCTGTCTGGTATTTTAAAAAAATACTAATATTAATAACAAGTGGCTTTAACATAAGGCGGCTGCTTTGTGACAAAGCTGCTTTGTGTTGTTTCTGAGGCCCTACAGCTGGGAGAATGGCAGCATGAGGCCCAGGAACGCCAGCAGGCAATAGTAACTGGTTGAGTTTGAGTCCCTTTGGGTCTGGAAACAGAGAAGACACACAACTGCAGTAATTGCTGGTTCTGGATTAGCACGCTATTAAAACAAAATTAGAAATCGGGTCTCCTTACATAGGGATTGTCACATCAACTTCACTGTGCACCCTCCACCTGTCCACAGCTTCCCTCTCCTTCAGAATACTTATCTTGTGAGGAAAAGCTGATGAACATCTGTCCAAGTATAAAGAGATCTTCTTGCACAATGTAGACATTTCACAATGGCTTAACATAGTCATATCACCACTTACGTATTTCAGCATCCGTTTCTCTCATCTAGGAAGAATTTAATTTTTACTAGTAATTCTTCCTGAAGCAAAGTAGTTTTCATACACTTCTGGAGCAGGATGCCTTACTGTGCAAAGGATTTATTTTATTCCTTTTACACCTTCCAATTTTACTGTATAGTAGCAAGAGGATGGAGGGAGATGAGGAGCAAAAACTACTCTTAAAGTCCTCACGCTTCCAGTGGGGTGTGATGCAGCTCCAGATGATTGTTCAGGTCGTGATACTCGGCTGACCATCAGTCTCATTAACAGTTGGTTTGTCCAGGTTATTCCAAGTGCTGGAGAGACTCTGTTATCCGCTACGCTACAAAGAAAGTATCACAGTGTCCTGCATATACGACTTTAAGATGAAATGTCTTCACTTCTGTTGTAAGAAAATTACACTGGAAGAAATAATCTACTGTTCCTATATTCACTGTTTGCTTTATTTAAACTAGAGGTCTCCGAAGACAGATTACAGGGTATATGCACAAAACTATACACCAGGTTCTCTCTACAGCAAGGTGACAAGTGGAAGAGCAGTGCTCCTAGACAGAATAATTCAGCCATTCTTCCAACTACAGCCATGGTGAATACCCACCTCTGCCTTGACGGGTCCCCTCTTGTGATAGGAAAACAGCAATAGAAAAAAGGTTGAACTTCAAGTATTTGGAGTGTGTGACTGTTGGCCCTGGATTCCATTAGAAGGTGTATTTAGAAATGCTGGGTACATACAACACTCTGTATGTATTACTTTCAACCCAATGGTTAAAGCAATTTTTTTTTTCCTGGAAAAAGTGCAATCGCTCCAGTAAAAGAATTACAAAATAAGTAAAATTGAACGTTGTCCTTATTCTGTGTCAGTTTCTGAATCTGGAGGACATAACTAACTTCTTACAAAACCATACTTACAAAGCACCTAGCTTATCTAGTAAATCAATATTATAGTTAAGATTCAAGCAACAAATATGTATGTTTGAATCATCTTGGTGTCAAAAGATATTTCTTTTTTTTTTTTTTTTTTCCCTTAACCAGCTAAAACCAACCGATAAGGTTTGGTTGCTGTATCTTTTCAAGCAGACAGAAAAGGCACTCGGTTATATCAGAGACAAGAAGAGATGCAAAATACTTCAGTGTAAGCAAATACACCAGCCATTAACTCCAGGGAATTCTTCCCCTGAACTTGCTGATTAGGGATTACCACCTGAGTGTATATAACAGTTTCTTCTACTTTACAGCACATTAGGTATTGCTGGTCTCCAGCAAATGCAGCATTGCTGGGCAAATGCACTACAGCCCTTAACACGCCCTGATGGGTTACACTGGAGCTATAAAACCCACAGTGCTTGCGTGCTGCTGAGTACGCCGTAGTTACGTTTCTGTTGCGGGTGACTTACCTGCAACCGCCCTGAGCAGCTTCTGACTCACTCACTGTGTCGGTCACCTAAAGCAGAAAGACAATGTTAGAAGCTGACCTGTAGGTACGCATCTGCTTTTAGCAAGCAGAAGAGCAGGGAAGGGAATGAAGAGAAGAAAATCCAAGTTATTGGATCACATATTAAGCCAAGTTAGAAAACACTTCTTCTTTCAAGGCCAACTGAAAGGGTATTGTGATGTATCATCTTAGTTTGCAGTGCTACTACTATTTAGCTAGCTACAACTGACATGAATTTAACTACTACTAGATGCTTAACTTGTTAAAAAAAAAAAAAAAAGAGGCAAATAAAGAACAACATACACACAAAATGTTCTGATGCTGTATCTGTAGATAAGAAGTACGGAAGCCCGAATCTCCAAAAGGTGTCCTGTTCTCAGTCATTTCACTACCTTTGCAGGCCTGCTTAATGAGGCAGTTTGCCTTTGACTACAACCTCGAAAAATCCACACCTCTTGCCTGCCTCTGTTGTCTTTTAATGTCATGATCCTTCCACACAAGCTCTTCACCAAGTACGGCAAAGTACAGCTAGCCAAGGAGCTTGAATCTCTTGGTTGGCTTCATAGCATAAATGCTGAAACACACAAACCTTTGCTTAATAAAGAGCAAAACCCAAACCATGCTTCCCAAGGAGAACAAATTGTTTGTATTAATACCAAAAATCAGAAAGCAATTATAGGAAATCTCAGTTTTCCTTAAAAGCTAGCTGTCCCTATGAAAAGTTAGGTGAAAAAAAGTTGGTTAAAAGAATTACAAGTAACTTGAGGCTGATACTTAAATCCTACTGAATCTTAATGAAAATAAAAACACTGCCTGCCCCAAATCTGTTCAAATTACTGCTACGTATGAATTTCAGCACACTCCCAGTTACGGTAGCAAAGGCAGGCTTTATGCCCAGCCTGCAATTCCAGAACTCCTCCTTGGGAACAGAAATGGGTAACCATTGACTTGATGTTTCTAGAACCTCTTTCTTCCCCATACAGAATTATGGTTTGTGTCAAGTTCAACTTTTCTCCCTACCCCTTTTCTTCTGCTGCAGGAAGGAAAGCTCAGGACTGAGTATTTCCTCATTTGATGGAAGGGCCTTCCACAAAGGAAGTTTCCCAGCAGTGGCCTGCCTGCACGTTCTCAGCGTCGCTGCAAGGGGGAATGCTTCCTCTCCAGCATTCACATGCTCCTTCAATTTGAGATTAATCCATGAGCAGTGGCATGCTGCTTCTAGGGGACAGCGGTAGCGTCTTGTCTAGTCTTCTCTAAAGACTATTCTTTTTATCTAGGATCATTGTGGCCTTTTTTGGTTCAGCTCAAGTCAGCCTGCATGCATTCTAATGCTTTAGTGATCTTGGCAGTTACACAAAAGTGCTGAGCTTCACAAAAACGCAGCAAAGTCCCCGGTGTTTCCCTGTCTCCTGTGTATGTGGAATATAACGGTGTGTGCAGCGTTCCCAGAGCAACCTTGCTGGTGATGGCTTTTGAAGGGAGTGTTAAGAACGAACCCTGTTATTTTAGTTTGATGCTTTGTGCAGTTGCTGTGCATAGCCATTTTCATTAGCTTTACCAGAGAACCTCTGAGAACATTAACAGTCTGTAAAAGAATAAATTATATTCTTAAACGTTGAGAAGTTAAAAGTTACTAGTTTAAGCTACACTAGTTTAAGGAAACTTCAGTTTCTATCACTCATTAATCCTTAGCTGACAGTGTTAAATACAACACGAAGAAATCTGCATACACAGATTTTCCCCGCCCTGTCCCAGCCATTTATTAAATGGTCCCTATAAAACTAGAAGCAATTTTGAGGTCATACCTGATTAATGCACATTATTGGAGTACTGAATCTAGTGCTTAAACTGTGAAGCTGTGCTCCAAACGTCTGCAAATACCGAGCCTTCGTAACAGAATCTGAAACTCCAAATTCGCATCGAAACAAAGCAGCAATGGAGTCTACGACCACCAACCGCGCCATGCCTCTCGTGAGCAGCAGGGAAATCCTTTTAGTAATGCAGTTGTGAAAGGTATCCTACCACAAAGCACAAACAGCCAGCATTAAAACAGCTCGAATAACTCTACTTGCAAAATCAAGATCCTAACACAGATACCATCGCCGAAACACGAGCTGATGGAGTTTCTAATCATAAAGTGTGTTTGCGCTAGCAACCTATTTTCACAAATGTCTTGTGGATTTTCCCATAGGGAAAAAAGAGAGACCAAATGGTGAGATACAGTGATCTGCAGCTCTGACTTACGTCAGTTATTTACCAACATTTCAAAATCTCAAGAAATCAATACTAAGTCCTAAACCATTCCTATTTTGCAGGAGCAGTTCTCACTGAGGACTCAAGACTAGCATTAAATATTCAAAACAGAAGTTACAGATTATGCTGCTGTTCCACTAATGACATATTAACAGTAAAATACATAGTTGCTACATCAAATCCATATTGATTAAGAGACTTAGGAGTAGCTGCAACTTGCATTTGTCCCTGTTAGAAGTTTTACTAATTGAATATTTTGAAGTCACCAAAAACTTACTTGCAGGAAGTTTAACTAGCAAATATTTTGTAGGGTGCAACTTCTATCATGTAAGAATAATCACTTTAGTCAGATGAAAGGTCCTTGTAGCCAGTTTCTTCTCTTTAACAGGGTGGTCTACAGCAGCCGAGTAGAAAGGAGAACAAGCTCATGGTGATAATCTCACCGTCAGAAATTTAAATGTTGGCAAAAAAAGCAATAATGTGAGAGTCACGGTTCTCCTAATTGGTGCCACCCTTTACACCTAAATAGAGGTTCACAGCCAAGAGCTTACATGTATCCAAAATTACATATAATATCCTCCAGCATTCCACAGCCTTTAAAACTAAATTGTAATTCTCCAGTCTGAATTACAGTAAGATCTATTCTACTAAATGAGCTGCTTTTTACAAAAGAAAGCCTTTGATTTTTTTTTTTTTAACTGAGGGTAAAAAAACTACTCTGAAGAATATATGACTGCTCTCCATTCCGGATATTTATTTTTTTATTATGGCATATCTACAGGAAACTATGTTGCACTTCAAACACTCCAGCGTTTGCATGTGGTCTGTCTGTTCGTACAAGACTCATTCTTTTCAAGTGAATACACAAACAACTGGATTCTTCAGAATGAAGCAAGTAAAATTTTGATGTGAAACAAAATGCAGAACCTAATTCTGATTTGGGTTTCTATTTCAGTTGCTATAATCTGCCTCTCTCTATATTGCAATGCATTCTAAATATACGGATACACACACCTGCACACAAACTGAACCTATACATAGCAATAGAGGGACTGTAATCATCTACTGTGCAGGTGCTGGACTTACCAGTGAGTATAGTGGTTTACTTTTAAGGGTATTTGAGAGAGATGTATGTACTACTAGAGTGTGATTCTCTCCTTTTTACAATAACATCCTCTGTAGCTTCCAGAAACTACAATTAGAAGTGTAATTAGTATTTCCAATGAAAGGGACATGGAAAAGGTGGCTTAGCTGCTGCCTGGACCACCCAGTGAATAAGTGGCAAGCACACTAATGTACAAGATCTTCTTATACTTGCAAACTATGATTAAAAAATCCCAGCAACTGGAATGATTTAACAAGTGCTCCTTTCAAGCCTTAGAGAAAACAGAACTTCTGACGTTCTATCAGTAAAAAGCATATTCATGGTTACTTAAGACAAAGCACAAAAATGTGGGTTTACATGGCAAGAACACAACACTGAAGTTTGTATCCTTTCCCCTCCAGCCCTACCATGCCATCTTACAGGCAGGGGGGCAGGACAGCTGCCCTGCTGTGGTTAGGCTGTGCCATTACCTATTCCAGGCTTCATTCTTCCTATGCTTTCCTCCTACCTGCTTAATTTGCAGTTTAACAACTCTGCTGTTATATTGCAACATTGCAATTGTTACATTAGTCAGGATACACACCACCTTTGACATATATATTTATATCCTGTCTCAAAGCTCAACGAAAATCTGCCTAGGAGCTGCAATAAAACTAGAAGCAGTAAGTCTATATTTTAATAAACATAATGACTTACAAAAATCCACTACATTATTAATTCTAAAAAATATTAATATTTATCTTTTAATATCTTTCATCATAAAACACTGAAATAGACAGTTCTCTAACAGCAAACTGCAGAGATTAAGCAGGATTCATTACAGATCTTAGTTCATTCTTAGCCTTTTGAAAGGTCTCCTCTATCAAAAAACCCCTGTGGTTAACTGGATTATAGTGTAAAAATTATGCATTATTAATTTGTGCTACTACTTACTAGGTCTGCTGCATGCTCAACAAAAATACTGTTTCCAAATTTGATCTTCTGTATGATTTCAGCTGGAACATCTGCACGCAGCTTATGCTGCTGATCTATGAGTTGTTGCAAACGTTTACTTGGGAATACATCTTCTGTACAAATGTAGACAGCTCCTATAATCAAGGAAACCACCTCTGTTATCACAACAGGGCTCTTATACACACAGTTTTCTTAACAGCACAGAAAATAAAACAATACACTGGGCACTCAGCAGCTAGTCATAGGTACCTGGAAATTCTTTTTTTTTTTTTTTTTTTTTTTTGCAGCTGTATTGAAGCAATGAACAACAAAATCCCACTCCTGTGACTTTTCCATAGTTGCCAAGTCCTTTTCTGGGTGCCTGCTGACACAACTGGATTTTTGTACTCTCCACTAGGTGACACTCATTTTGCACAGCTGCGGAACACCTGACAGGTGGTTATGGGTATCAGAAATGGAGCCATACTACACGGTGTGCCACAACACAGCACTACACTACGAAGAAAACTATCTCAGCCAAAACCAGTACAACTAGTATTTTGATTGATTTCACTCACTGTTTTCAAGTTTCTTGTTTTTAAATGCACGTGTGGAAGGGTACTTATTGCCACGATCTGTAAACCAGTTTAAAGAGGATCACTCATCAAATCTCAGTGCAATTAACTTTTCCTGAAAATGGCAGATTAGATAAAAAGCACTGCAGTTCAATAACATTATTATGAGTGATGTCTATGTGGTTTTACTGTGGTTTCTGGTTAACAAGCATGCATTATTGCAGAGAAGATTAACCATACACATGAAAGACGTTGGGGAAAGAAAACAGGAATACATGCAATATTTTCTTTACTAAAAATTGTTCCTGTTATTGCAGAACTAGCCAGAATTATCAGCTAATACTCTCAGGGTTACATCTAAGGATTAAGTCCACTCACTAAAGTGGCTGAAGCTGCTAGCACAGCTTGGCAGCTGATGTGCTTGGCAATATGAGACATCCTGAACATGTCCACCCCAATGGTCCATCCCTACACTCCAGGGAGCAGAAAGTCCCATTTCCAGATGCAATTTCAAAATCCTCTATATATCACACTGAAAAAAATATGAAACTATATCCAATAGAAGAAACAGAAAGATCTCAGGACTGGATGATGTAAAAATGAATGGTTACTTCAACAATAAAAATATTTTGCTGATGGACACCTGTACAACACAGGGTATTGAATTTTGAGAATCTTCTATACAAGACAAAGATGAACCTAAGCCTAATTTTCTTTAGGACTAAACTTGCATCTTTAGTTTAACTCGTCCATAAATTCTTACATAAATCACCCTACTTCACATGTGAAATATAAAAAAATAAAATTCCAATACATAGTCTTACTTTTAAAAACTCAGAAAGCTATCAGGTAAAGCCATAAAATTTACCAATGCCCACTAATTAAAAAAATTGCCTTTGAGAGGTGAGAGTTACAGGCCTTCCTCAATTATTAACACATGGAAAATTACTTCATCATCATACATGCCTTCCATAGGATGTACTGAAACGTTTCCACAATTTCTATTTCCATTCTACCTAGTAACAAGTTCAAATTATACTTCAGCTCCTTTCTACTTTCCTTGGCCCTGGCAGCCAATAGCATTTATCACTAGCATATGCCGCCTCTATTCTTAATTTCCCCCATTATTACATATATATTTAATGTCAGAGGGAACTGAGGGTTGTTAGCAGTTTACATCTGACAGGGAATAAGGACTACAATAAAGCATTAGTGATTAGAGCAGTCATGATTTAATCATGATTCCTGAAACATAACATATAAAAAACTAAGAAGTTGAACCTTTGATATTTTCTGTACTTTTCCCACTTTTTTTCTAACATTAGAGTGGAAGGAATTCTGAATTTTAAACTGTGGGTATAAACGCTGTATTCAGTAATTACACTGATTGAAGTCACAGGCAGTACCTGTAGACACAAATGAGCAGACATACAAATTTCCATCAGCAAAGGAAAATAAAACAAAAGAGAAAATAAGTCCACAGTTACTTGAATCCATTAAGTTTACAGTGGCATCAGCAGCCTGTTGAATACTATCTGAACTTGTATGAAGCTCAGGTGAGGAAAATACAGTAAACTATTAATTATATCACTTAACTGCGTAAGGGTCTTTAAATACCTAATTACTAAACAGTTTCATTAGGTGAACTACAACTTTCTTGACTATTTCCCTAGGTTAACTTCTCCTAATTGGACTAATTTTCACATCACTCCCCAACTCGACAGTGACAGCTGTGTATCAAATAGGCAGATGAGTACCTTTAATAAGGGAAGTTCATGCATTCCTAATCAGATTTTCAGTCTCACAATTTCTAAAAAGCTGCTAAGTCAAGAAAAATTTCTAATCACAAATTTGACATTGTGTACAGCTAGCACCGACACTCCCTCAGATAAGCCAATTATGTCTTGCAACTCTTATACTACAAAGCTGAAAAACATTATGGTGCAAATTCAAAACCAAGTAAACAAACAAACAAATTATGAAAACCCACCAGGAAATGCAGCTTCCTTAAACCCATGTGGTTTCTTAATTTAATACTAACAAAAGCTATGATAACTTGTGTTATCATATATATAAATAGTAAAATATTCTGGACTTCTCAACTACTGTTCTTATTCACAGCTGATTGCCTTTTGCACCTTACCTAATTCTGGAAGACAAGTATTTCTTTACCATGAATATTGGCTCACAGAGAAATCCCTTGTCCTCTTTGGTTTTTACTTAAAAAGGATGGAATGTCTGTTACTTGACACTTCATGGTTCTTGCTTTTTCAAATGCAGATTTACATTTCTAGATAGATTGGTGGTCCAAGGATTAGATAATTGTATTTTGATCCAGTGTATTGCAATATTCAAGACATTTCAAAACAGAAAGCCTGAGAAACTTGCTCAAAAAAATATTTTTTTTTCCAAAATTAAGTTATCTGGAGAAAAATAAATGTAAAATTCTTCCAAAGATCTCCCTTGCAGACAATTTCAGTAGAGTAGTAAGAACAGCAATAGGAACAAACACAAGGTAAAACACTATAAAACAATCTTACTGTATTACAAACATACATGCAGTTGTAGCCCACTTTCACATTTATACCTGAAGAACAAGTAAATCGAGGCAACCAAGGTAATCCTACAGCTGTAATATGTGTAGGCAAAAAAGAACAGCTGGAGAAGCAAAAATCCGGTCCTCTCTGCTCCACTGGTCCAGCAACCTAGATTTAAAATTCCTGATCAATAGATACACACTATCATCTTTGTAAAATCATAAAAGTAATTTTAAAAGTCAACCAAATAGATTTATTCAGGTTAGTTTGTTGGGGTTTTTTTTGTTTTTGTTTTGTTTTTGTTTTGTTTTTGTTTGTTTGTTTGTTTAGGTTTTGGTTTGGTTTTTTTTTTTTAATGAAACACTTGGGGAAAAAAAAGATCAAGAAGATTAATTCCTTCTTGAGAACAGTTCTGCTTCATAGACTATTTCCTGCCTCAGTTTAATTTCGTAAAATACCAGCATTCAGTCACTTGCCAATCTTCTACTCTGCTGTAACACTTCTTTGACACCAGTTAAATCTGCAAAAGCAGATACTGTGCTCCCAGTACATAATTGATCCATTTGTGATTTCTCCGAAATATACAGTGGGACCACCTTTTTTTTTTTTTACTTTAAGTGCTGCTCATTTCACAAAACAATTGTCTGATTTTCATCTTGAACTTTAAGAGAGTTAAGCCACATAAAGTATATCAGATGAGCTTTGCCTTGGATTAAAATCTGAGTTTCACAGTAAAATGAATAGCACTCTCTCCTACTGGACCTTCATCAAGCCTCTTCAGCTTTTGTTTATGCTCTTCAGTTTGAACCACAATGAAATATTTGATTAAGGAGAACACACACCCGTGCATTAAAAATACAGAAGGTGCTTCATAGCAAAGTTACGAGGGCTAGAAGAGACTGACAAATAACTAAACTCAGTATTAAAGACTGATGCCTGATTATGAGGTAAAAGTACTTACAATTCACTCATCTTTAAAGACGTGAATATTCATAACCTAAATAAAAAGAGGAGACTGGTACGACACAAACAGAAAAGGCTATGGCACTGTGCTAATTACAGACCATGAGGAAGCTGTCAGCAATAAGTCAAGAGCCAGGGTAGTTATCACTTTCGAGAAAGAAGCTGAGACACACTCTCAAGAAGTCAGTCATCCTCAGTGATCATATCAGCATCCTTCCTCACTGGTCCGCAAAAAACAAACAGAAATCAGTGATTTTATCAAATCCCAGTGCTTTACTATTCTTTAGGCCAATAAAAGTTCTATGCTGGTTGTTGACCAAAAACCACCCCAAAACCAACCAACCAAAACCGCACAAACACTAAAAAACCCCACCTTCAAATTTTGAGTTCTGTGAACATTAATCTCTCAAGCACCAAACCAGCTTGTTACCAAGAATCAGTAGCAAACAATTTTTTCTAATTCAGAATCCCAAATGGGTATGAATTTGTCACATTATATTCACGTATTACTTATAAATATGGGCATGTAAAATAAATTCAGCCAACATGTGACTGACCATAACTGACATTCTTAGAATGGCAGAAAGATAACCTCGAGGCAAAGGATGTCCTATTTTCTTTGTTTGCTGCCAACCTCCTAGCACTGAGAACTGTAAACAAGATTAGAACTAAGTCAAATGAAACAAATACACAATAAATCTATACTGTCTAAAGAAATGTATTTCAACATCACCACCTAAGGGAAGGGAAGATTCTAGCACTAAAAAAACCCCAACCCACCATAATTTTAAATCACTAGCAACGTTTTAGTGCTGAGATTAATCTTCCATTGGTAGTGTTAGACTTCTGTGGTAGTTACTAAGCGTTGTTTTTCTCAAGTTTCCTAAAGAATAAAAACTCCTCATACTTAACATAAGCTTAATTCCTCTAGTTCTCATAAGAGACTCAACACAACCCTTATTTATAGACTGCAGAGAGATCAAGTTTCATTTTCTAAGTGCTATGCAAACAATATCTGCTATGACTGTAAGCAGTCTAATATATGGCAAGACGTAACACTGAGAGTTAGAAAAAGCAAGAATTAGGATTCCACCACCCCCTTAGCTCTACAACTCCTGCAGCAGGATATTTCTGCCTTCTACACCTTCAAAATCCTCCAAAGTTTCATCCTCTCAGCCCTTCTGAAACTCTCTGGTTCTCTCACAGGAGCACTGATATGATGGCTATTCTAGGCTATCTTCTGTGAAACACTTAGAAGTGGGTAGGTGGGGAACACAGACACAACAAAGCAATCGTAATGGTGCCAAGTGGTAGCTGCATAAGAAACAAGAACCATCTTCAAACACAAATAGCAAAAAGACTTGCCATTTTGTAGCCCTGCAAGGAAGACTGTAGTCTGGTACAAGAGACAGGAGTGCCATTAGGATGTTGGGCACCTTCTCTTGCACTCTGCTTTGGTTTGTCCCTTTCTTTCAACATAAATAGGGAGAAATGGTGGGGCATGGATAAAAATGTATTTGCATTCAAACTATTTGCAGCAGTGAGCAGCAACACATGAAGGAATCGATCAAAATATATTTGCTTCTGCTCGGATTAATGATGCAACTTACAGCAAAGTTATGTAAACAACAGGCTAATTACTGCCCTTTAAGCAAGACCTTCATCTGGACATTCCATGATTCTTCCACATGGGTGGATATAGTACAAGAAATACTTAAAAGTTTTCCCAAAACAAACCACTGAGCTGCCAAATTAAACCCATTGATGCACAGATGGAAGAGCAAGATCACGGCCAAAACACACCTAAGGCAATCTACCAGAACACTGAATTTTCAGGAGTGACACAAGATTCCTCCCCTTTTAAGACAGCATATAGTACTTAAACAAATGAAAAAAAATTAGGAGTTAGGTTAGTGTGAGAGATAGTTAAAAAATATACTCTAATCAAAGAAAAAACTTATTTACTTTGGCAAAACCAGGCAAATCGCAGGTGCAAAACAACATTAGCTTTCTTCAATTAGATTTCCATCGATTTTACTCTGTAAGTCACTTTAAGTATTGTTATCAAACTCAATATTCTTTGAAATTTGAAACCCCGACTAAGGAATATATACCAGAAACCCAAGATTTTTGTGTAAAATTATCTGACTAGCTGGTTTTCTGTGGTTGTTACCTGAGGAGTCAACAAATATTTGTGACACTGATGCTTTTCATACACTGTTTGCATGTGTCTAGTCTAACCCACGGTGGCAGGCAGGTAAACAACAGACAGTAGTAATTTTATATTAAATTATCTTGTGCTGCAGACCATGTGCACAGCATGCTTTTCTCTCTATGAAGATACATTACTAACTAACTAGCTTACTCCTAATTCTACTGCAGAAGGGTAAGACATGCACTGAATATGTGCATCTACTTCAATGCACTGATGAGGTTCTTAAAGACAGTATATTCCTCCAAATGTCAAATTAATCAACATTTACATTTCAGTACTTACCAGACTCTAATCCACCATATTTGTAAGGATACTGCACACAAAGGCAGAGTTGTAAACTAATCTGAGTCTTCCCAGCAGAACTTTCCCCAGCAAGTTCTGTGATTCCCACTAAAGGAATGCCACCTTTTAACAAGGTATCTAGTACTGAACATCCTAGGCTTAGCTTCTGGTGTTGGGACGTGAGGTGGTCTTTATCTCGGTAGAGCTGAAGCGCTGCAGAATTTTGGATTTTTTTTTCATGATTAAAAAGAAAAAAAAAAGTTTCATTGAGTATACAATGATACAAAATAGAGGCTGTATACCAGGTTTATATCTACAAGGGATGCTTTCTTTACTGATGGGAAATTTTTCTAATTCAGCCTAGTCTTCCCCACCTCCACAGGGCCTACTAATTGAATGCCTTTTCAAAAATTGATAGTTTACACTGAGCCCTTTCCTCTTCTCAGACTTGTTTTCTTTTCCCTGCCTCTAAGGAATCTCTATGGAAAGCTACAGTCTGGGAAAATATTGCCAGCAAGGTCCAAGCACAGCACTTAGGGAAATGGAAAGCTGTAGCAGACTATGAAACAGCATACCAGGCATCCTGCCAAGGCCTGAAGATATAGGCAAATCACAAGAAAATAACTTCTAAGTAGAGAGCTGCCAGGAAGTGTTTGTACAGGAGGAGCTATTAGGCTCTGCTTGGTTTGGAAAGGGGTGTTTATAACAAATCAGTTTACATAGTTTTTCAGCTAGTCTTAGTCCAAAAGAGAGAGGGAATCTTTTTATCCTCTAACCAAGTTTTCCAGACTGGAGATTAGTTTTGTCCCCTTTCAGGCAGGCTTGATCCTGAAGAATGATACCCACCCACTTCCATCTACCTTCAAAGTCTCAGAGGAGCTCTCTTCAGGATAGTTAAATAATTCACTACAGCGTAACAAAAACACTTGCTTTTTACTTTCCAGAATCACATTACTGTGTCAATGAGGAGCCAAAACCTTAGTTTCTCCCAGTGACAGTATTTTAAGATTTAAATAGAACACTTTTTTTTTTTTTTGTATTGACTGTATTACCTGTAAGCATACTATTTCTCCTCAGTGTGTGAGAGACTGTTTTCAGTAAGCACTGGATATCTGCACTGGATAGTTTCGTCAGTCTTTGCAAGTCTGCTCCCGAAAGATTTAAAATATCTTTTATTGATTTTATGTCAGCTGAAATTAGAAAAACTTTTGTAAGTACTTTTGGCTGGATTACAGTCTTACGCACAAAAGAAAAAGTTCTCCCACTTTTTACTGATCATTTACTTGAAGCTTATCTACACCGCATTCTTGCAAGCTAGGCAGGCAACATTTACTTTCAACATATCAATACACGCTACAAAATTGTTTGGAAAATTATTACTGGAGCATGGGGAAAAGCCATCGCTTCTGATTACTCAAAAAACTTGCTTATGAAATACTCATTTACAGTTCTAAAATGTTACTGTACATCTGTATGTTTACACCCATGAACACACAATTATGTAAAGAAAGACACTCTGGTGACAGGTCTATCAGTGAGGCACTGGCAAATTAAGTTACCTTTCTTAAGGGCAGCAATTACTTTAGGGTTCAAGTCAAACTGGTCCCAGTCCATTTCCTGATACAGCACTGGGGTGAATTACCTGTTAATGTGGATATACATGCAACAACAACAAAAAACCATAATTCAATGTGAAGAGTTTGTAGGAATATTATTTTTTATTTTTTAACAATATACTTATCAGCTACTTTAGAAAAATACAATGATTCAGCACACTGCAGAAGTCTTCTCAGGTGGCTGTTTACAATATGTACTATTAGAAGGGTTCAACTAATAACTGCACTGCTTTTGCTCTGCACTGAAGCTTGCAAATACGTTGCATGTGCAATTTGGAATGATTCAGGGCTATTTATGCATTGGAGAGTCAAATATGCTTTGATTAGCTAAAAGCAAATTTAGTATTAAAACATTAAAATCAGCTTGCGTCTTGTAACAACATTAAACATGCTTTGATCTAGAACACAAGGGCTTAGCACTGTCGCTGCCTGGAGGAGTACGGTGGGGTTTGTTCCGATCACCTGAAGGATGGCAGCAGACACTTGGGAGTTACAGAATACATGACTTAATGAACAATCCCTTTAACGCAGGGGAGAGGTTGCCATAGATCCTATAACAGAACAAATGCACTAGAAACAGTAATTTATAAGCAACACCCGTTTACAGCAACACTCTGACACGAGTTAGAAGGCGAAACTTACTGAAATTACTCATGATTGTGAGCACCTTTGCCCGGAAGGACTCCAAACCATGTCGTACCCTCCACTCGCGAGCAGCCCCTCCCCTGCAGCCGCGGCCCGGGGCACTGCGAGGAGAGGGAAGTCACCAGAGCAAAGTACTGCAAAGCCAGGCCGGGACTTTCAGTCACGGACATGTCACCGAGAGGGGCCGCCCGGGCCTACGGCGGCCCACCCTGGCACAGGGGAAGGCGAGCGGCAGCACCGCTCCGGGACCCCCTCGCCCGAGGGGAGGGCCGGCTGAGGGGGAGCAGAACACCACCGGCCCCTCTAGGCCCGCCCCGCCATCGCCGGAGGGACCCGGCGGCACCGGAGCTCCCCCCCCACCCCGGGCAGAGCCGCCGCCGCCCTCAGCCCCGGCCCCGCCGCCCGCCACAACCGCCGCAGCCAATCGGCGAGCAGCTCGCCCGCGACGCCGCCGGTCACCGACCAATCAAAACTCCCCAAGGCCAGCGCTCGGGCGTGGCGCTGCTCGCCCCGGTGCTCGCCCCCGCTGGCAGCACACGCGCCCCGGGGCGAACGCGGCCCGCCGGCTACTGACCCGCTGCTGGCAGCCGCGGCCTGCGCGGCCCGCCCCTCGCTGCTGATTGGCTGCCACGCTTCCCCGAACACGAAGTACGGCGGCGAGACCGAGCGGCGCACGCCCCTCGCTTCCGGGTTGTGCGGGCTGGTCCCTCCCGTTGCGCATGCGCCGCGAGCGACGAGGCGGGTGAGGAAGGGATAAGACGCCAGCCTGAAACCCTAAGCGATACGGGATTGGCTGGGAAGTCCGAAGCCTATGTTCTATTGGGCGTCCGGAGCTGGTGGGCGGGACTGGAGGTTCGCTTATTCCCATTGGCCGTGCGCCGCGCCCGTTCGGAACGGCCCGAGCGGCGATTGGGTAGCGGTGCTGCCATTCCCGCGGGGCAGGGTAGCGGTGGTGGCGGAGGGGGGGAAGATGTCGGGCGGCGAGGCCCGTGACGCCAAGAAGCTGGTGCGGTCGCCCAGCGGGCTGCGCATGGTGCCCGAGCACCGCTCCGCCCGCAGCCCCTTCGGCCTGGACGAGCCGCCCTGGGTGCCCGACAAGGAGGTATCCGGGGGCCGGGGACCGAGGGTTGCGATCGCGCTTCTTCCCCTTTCCTTGCGCGCCCGTGTTCCCCGGCACCTCCCGCTCTCCCTCGGCTGCTGGGGCGCGGCCGCGGTTCCCGCCCGGCTGCGGCCCGCGGGGCGCTGAGGGGCCGGGCAGCCTCCCCTCGCCTCACGATCCCGCCGGGCGGCGGACCGGGCTCCCCCGGGGGGCGGTTTTTTTTTAGCTGTAAACTACGCTTTTTTAAATTTACTTATTTCATTCGGATTAATGGACTTCAAAGCATAGGACCGTCGCTCGTCCTTCAGGGATGTGTGGCCCCGTCACAAAAATTAGTGAGGAACTTAAGGAGTTAAAAGTGTAGCGAGTTATGCAGCATTAATGTTTACTCTGCATTCCCTTTAAATGCTTATAAAGGCCATGTTGATTTTTAAAAAAATGATGCAAAGTGTTAAGGCAATAAGGCGGAGTTAGAACACTCCTCTGGCTCCCAGTGTGAATGTTCGCGGTGTTAAACGAGTATTGAATAACTTGACTGCTTCAGTCAACTTTGCCTTTAAATACTTTTCAAGTAAGCTGTGTAATCATGATGTTCTATTAAGTTTAATGAATTATCGTTATTTGTTACCAGTCCCTCTACAGCTAGGTGCTAATACATCTCAGAATCGGTTGTTTGTTTGTTTATTGCCAGGGCTCTGTGGTGTGGATGCATGCCAGTGCACTTAAGTGTGACCAGAATTAAGATTTATTTCAGATGAGCCAATATGACTTTAAGCAGGGAGTCATTAAGCAAAGCCATTCTTTTCCAGATGCTGGCATGGTTGCTCTGTTTTGTATGGGAACATGATGTCCTCCTTAGTTAAGAACAAGGAAGAAAATTTTGCCCCTACCTGGTATTTCTTGAGGGAAGCAGTTCTCTGCAGTAGTAATAATTCTGGAGGCTCGCTCTGCTAGCACAGCTTCTGCAGCTCTGGCAAACCTTTCGTGTCATAAGGTGCATGACTAGTAAGTCAGTTGCTGGTTTTGTGCAAAATAACAACCCTTTTTTGGAAAGTGACTTTTTCAATTTATTTTAAACAAGCAGTCTGCTAAAATGTCTTGTGGGAGTTTTTTCAAGTTACTCTCTTCCATACTTAAGGAATTAAAAAAACATAAAAAAATCCTCCCTGTGATCAGTAGCAACTGGTTCTCTCTGTCTTGTATGAAGCTTAGATAAGTCAAACTTCTCAGTGGCGGGGGCTGAGTGTCGATTGAAGGTATGGGTGCTCAGCTCCTGAGGCTCCCACCCAGCCCGCACCGGTGTGGTGTGGAGCACTGGGTGTGCTGCAGATGGGGTGTGTATTTATCAGTGAGCTTGTAGCAAAGTCTGAGCAGTTATTGTGCAAGTGGTGTCCCTTTGCATCGCGTGGAGTAAGCTTTTGCTGTGCGCTCACGGAGGCCTCCTGGAAACCTGATCGTTGACATCGTCGTTGTCAGTGAATATAATTTGTGTAACAGCTAAACTGAAATTAGTTTTCTCCCTGACCTTCTGAAACGTAGTTTTGTATTTCAGTAGTCCTTGATTATAGCAGACTAGTTTCCTTAAAAATAATAAAAACCCCACAGTACTTCTAACTCAGTCTAATACATAGCACCTTCTTAATTCTACTAAAGGTTATTTGAGGATTGTGGTAGGATTTAGTTAAACTAGTTAGATACATTTAAGAATTAAGTCTGTATATTTTAGATACGTCAGTCAGATGTATGGCGTTAGTTTGAATTTTATATTACAGTTGTACTGCAGATACTAATTCCCCATAAAATTCAACTTTTCTCCTGTAGTCTGTTGGTCAGTAGGCTGGTGGTGTTGATTTGTGATTGAGTGTTGTCTTTGCATCAGAATCAGTGATACTGCTGTTGAGAGGAAGTGTGTTACAGGCAAACATTTAAAATGCATTTGTTAGTTCATATTCTTAATCTTGCACTACTGTTATTTTATGCAAAGTTATTTTATTAGATTTCTTAAAGTGTGTTGAAGTTCTGATGTCCGTTTGGTTAATGATTACCAAATATGTTACGAACTCTCCTTGAGTAAAGCAGGTATGGAATATACAGGGAAGCTTATAAACCCCATATTTTTATGAATAAAATGAAGCTTAAAGAGACATTGTTATCTAGTTAATGAATTCATCAAGAAAACTTGCTCTTGTTACCATATTAGATGTAATTAAAAAAAAAAAGTTATTTGTCCAAGACAAGAGACCGATATTATCAAGTGTTGATCCGGCTTTTAAAACATGCTGGCTTCTGCTGTGCAGCTAGTAACACCCACAAATTCAGTACTTTTATTTTTCTTATGCAGGAAGACTCTACTGCTTTATTTTTTAAAAGTAAGGCTACCTGAAAATTACGGCAATTAGTAGTTTTGCAAAACTTAGATAACACTGAAATACATTTAATTTTTTCTATGTCAGAAGATTATACAGTCCTAAAATACAATTTATTTTGAGGAGTTTGTAGTGTAAGACTGAAGCAAGATTAAAGAAAATTTTCTTTTTGGTAGTCTTATTTATAATGTAAATAATGAGTTGAAGTGGATAAAATGAAAATTTGTGCTGACCGTCACTAAACTTGAGACAGTGGTTAAAACGCTGGTCACTGCACGTGCCTTGTCTAACGCAGAATGTCGTCGTTAATCACCAGCAGAGCTCAGCTGTTCCTACTAAGGAAATCTTGGACTAGAAATGGAGTAAAATTTGTGTGTTTGAATGCAGAGGTGGCCAGACCTCGTGACATCCAGCTGTGTAGCAGATCTTCACGTGGCTGGGATGTCTGAGAGGAGCTTCCAGCTGTGGTGGCAGTGATTCCCCGGGGCTCCTGGGGCTGCGGGAGGGACTGGAGCTGTATGGAGCTGGCACCAGAGCCAGCAGCAGTTGTGTGACAGAGCTGTGCTGGGACTGCCGGCTCTCGGGCAGTGAGGTGGCCCTGCACCGCTGTGCTGTCAGAAAGCACCGTAAGCCGTATCTGGGGTGTGTTTGCATTGGGTTGTTCTCTGCTCTGGCATCCCCTGTTTTGGTCAGGTGTGTTACAAGGTGTGATTTGATGAGCTGGTGAACCTTCGTATTTGCTAAAGTTCACTGTGTTAACAAGCTCAACCAGGTGCCGCCTTGCGTCACTTCTTGAGTTGCTTTGTTATTGTCCGTGCAGATCGCACACAGTATAACTGTAGCTTCCTGTCCATCTCCAGTATTCTCACCTCTGGCAGAATCCAAAGTGTTACATTCCTTATCGCACTGCAGCAAACATGTGAGAAGTTCCACTCTTATTTCTAGTGAACTAGCTCTCAGTATGTTTAAATTAATACCAAGATCCAGTAACTGTTGCATGTTCTTCCATTTTTCTCTTGCTATATGAAGTGATATGATACCAGTAGTGGTGGTATGTTGATTATCTGTGAAATGCGTATACTCGTGACATGCATTTTTATTTAATTTCTTTCTTCGTAGTTTTTTGTTTTCACTTGACCAAAAAAAAAAAAAATCAGATTTGCACTACTCTTAAAAAGCCTATATCTTGAAGACACAAAAAGTAACTCAAATATCATGCTTCCTTCTCTGCAAATGTGATTGAAAGCCCTTCAAGCAATAAACCTTAATTCAGTGCTTATGCATTCTTTTATTGTCAGCATATGGCTGAATAGGAAGAATTCACCTTTCAAGATGTTCTTCAATAGAGATCTTTTCCCAGGCAAAGTAGAAGTTGAGTTTATGCAAATGGCTTCAGATGATTTGGGTTACTTAATGCAGAAGTGCCTTGAAGGAACAGTGTATTGAGCCTACTTGTATTAGAACATTTTTGTAGGAAAATCGCCTTCTGCACTGCCTGCTGCCATATGCCATTTGACTTGGGGTTTATTTGTGGCTGCTCTATATATCAGGCAGTGTTATTGTGATATGTCTGAAATTCAGAAATATTTTTCTACAGATTTTGTATTAAATACGAGGATGGATAACTTTGTTCCTTCCTGAAAAGCAACTTCTATGTTTAGCATAACATTGTATATGAAATCTGTTTAGAACAGTATTTAGGAAAGCATTTTTCCCCCTTAGTTTGTGGTTTGTGCTTTCTAATTTAAGAAAAAAAAACAAACAAACAAAAAAAAAAAAAACCCAAACCCAAACTTGTTTTCATTACGAAAATCAGCTAGTCTCCTGGTAAATTCAAAATATGCCGAAATTCCTGCCAGGTCCAACTCCCAGACAAGCTATTAAGCTACACATGTCAAAAACTAAAACACTAAATCAAGATCAATGCAGAGTAAAATGTGGTATTACCTGTAGAGTACTACTTGTTACGGAAATGAAGCCTGGGGAATACTGAAGTTGCTTTATGTTGAAGGTTATTCATCAGGGACTGTTAGAATAAGCTTATTTACGGCCATCATGAAAAGAGGATGCCTTAATTCAGTACCTTACTTGAAACAATACAGGAACACTTCTAGTTCTCTTTTGTGCGGGATTTAGAAACATATAGCTTATTGTAACATGTTGGAATGTTGTAGCTATTTATGTTTCATTACAGTGACTGTAGTTACTCTCAAATTTGTTAAACTTCTGCTTAGACATCAAAGCACTTAATATAAACTACTGCGATCTCTTAACAATCTTCTACTTCAAAAGAATGTGAAAAGTCTCTAGAGAATTTTTAATTTAGCTGCTGTAATACTTCCTTGGCAATAGTTATTGAACTTGTGACAGTGATTGGGGTATCTGCTGAAGCAAAAGTCCCAGAAAACAACAAAAGCTCTTGTAACCTGAGGGAATTAATAGAAGATAAAGGGTTGAGTATTGAAATATGTTAATTAAAGGCAAATAGTGATTACTGTGTGCTTAGCAAATAGCACCTGCTCAGTTTAGGGCATGTTTTTAAGATGACATTCTGCTGTAGTCTGGGATAGTCTAGTTTGAGGAGTTTTGGTTTCTAGAATTACAAAATTTACTACGGGATCTAACCATGTTTTCCTGATTCAGATGTCAGGCATAATTTTGCATTAATATTTGCAAATCTAGCAATAATTGCATTATAAGCCTTGGCGAGTGGCTTTGAATATGGTGGATAAAAGTGTGTGAAATCTTGGTGAAAATCCAGTGATCTAACAGCTGAGTATCAGCCCTTTGGTAAGTGATTTTCTATATAGAAAACTTAAATTGTCTAACAATCACCGATCGCTTCTAGTAGTTCAGCAAGTCAAAACTGTCACCCCTTAAACTCTGCTTAGTTGCAAGAGAGAAACTTCTTCAATTTTTTCTGGCTTCTCTTTTGGGAGCAGTGTGGGTGTAAGCTTGTGTTAGGCAAGAGGTTTATCAGAAAGTGACATTTTGTAGTTGGAATAAAAAGTTGTAGTGGCTTGGAAGAAACCCAGACATCTCCTAGTATGTTTCAAAAATGTGTAAGTATTGAGAACATTAAAATACGTAAAAATGTTTTTGAGAGTCAACAGAGCATCACAGTATAATACGGTGAGGATGACAGTTTATATAAAGAATATGTGACTGGATAGCTAAACATAAATAAGTACTTCTGAAGTGTAGTTTTGGCTGCTGGCAAGATGCAGTATTCCTTAGGGCAAATGAGTTTGGCAGCTTTTTGTGTCTTACCAATGGGGATGACGTTATTTTGCTACATCAATATTAAATGAAAACCATCCATGGTGAAAAGATGAAGGATAGAAATTTGTTCGAGGTGTTTCTTTTTAGGGCATAATCTAAAGATCTGTCTTTGTATGGTGGTAGGATTAAAGGTTTAGAAATACTGTAGATTAATTTTAATTTTTACTGTTTTCTAGTGCCCGAGATGTATGCAGTGTGATACAAAATTTGACTTCATAACTAGAAAGGTAAGAGAAATCAATGAAATGTAAAGCATGTTGGAAAACACTAATATGGACTTATTTTGATTTAAAATGTAGGGGACTGTAGAATAGCATACAAAGTCTGATGTAATTTAAAGCAGTTTTTCTTTCTGTTCTGCCTTTTCTGAGTAGAGGTCCTTTTTGTTTTAATTTTTTCTTTGAAATTTTCTTGTTGCTCAATGTGTTATACGTAGTTAGGGTTTTTCCAAATTACCGAGTACCCACAGAATTTACATTCAAGGGAAGAGTTAGAGAAACTCACGGTGGAGCAGGCTGCTAACATCAGTACTGACATAGAAACCAAATCAACTAATTTAGTTGTGTTTTGGGAGATAAAATTAGTTGTGGAAATGTAAGCAAAAAAAGTTTTCAGGAGAAATGAATTACAGTCTTACATTAATGAACCGTATTGTTAAACTGCAGAGAACCAAAACTCAGATTCTCCTTCTGCTTTAAAAGTAAAACAGGATATATCTCAGGTTTGGAAAAGGGAATTTATGATTAAAGTAGGAAGTGTAAACTGCCTTGATTTCTGGGAACCATAACAAGGCTCACTGAAGAGAAAACACTAACATTAGCATTAAATTATGTTAATTACAGGAAAGTAAGCAGGTCACTGTGGAATGCATGCTGGTGTGCAGGATACTGCTATCAGAAAGCATTCTCCTGCCATTGGGGTTTCTGCATGAAGAAGGAAGGCAGCCTGCCCCAAAAGGCCAACAATGATTTTTAGCAGAGAGTATCGTTGCGTTGTCTGACTGCATTGGCACTCTCTTAGCACGCGCTTGTGAAAGTGAAGGCAGACATGGAAGTGCGACTTGTAGTGCATGGGCATAGTCAATGTTTTCTAATTTATTGTTTGGAGGGAGAGGGAAGGAGAAATTGTAGACCAGACATACTAATATATGATACCAGATAGGTGTAAATTTTCAAGAGACCTTAAGAGCATTAGGATGTCAGTTGGTGATCCTAGGAGCAGAGTGGATTAGATTATTTCGGTTGCGAGCAACCTGCAAAGATCATCCTGACTGCTCCAGGGCTGACCAAGTTAAAGCATGTTCTTAGGGGCACTGTCCAAATGCTTCTTGGGCACTGACAGGCTTGGGGCATCGACCTCCTCGTGATGAATCCTGTTCCAGTGTTTGGCCACCCTCTTGGCAAAGAAATCCTTCCTCACGTCAAGTCTGCACCTCCTCTGCAGCTTTGAACCATTCCCACGCCTCTCATCATCAGATAGCAGGGAGAAGAGATCAGCACCTCCCTCTCCACTTCCCCTCACTCTTGGATTGTACTTTTTCCTAGTTTTTGTTCTACTTTTTAGTCGGATGGGTTAAAAGCATGGTGGGTGGGTGGGTGGAGTGTTTTGGTTGAGAAGCACTAACTCATTAGTCTGCTGTGCTTTACTTGCTTAAGCTTTGGGAAGTAAATGGAGAGAGCCCTGGGAAATAGGTGCTCCAGGGAATTGTGCATAATATTTGGAAGAAAAGCCCAACACTGACCAAAATTGCAGTGTATCAGTTCCTTGTATCAAAGTGTTAGAACTTGCTTTGAGCCATGTGTCAGTTCCTGCTTGCCTGGGAATACTTGTTCTGACATGAGGACTTGCATCAGAAGACCTGCTGGGACTGTCACACCCCAGGAGGGATTTGGAGCACAAGCCACTTGTTGCAGATTCAGTCGCTGTGAAACACATTGCAGTACTAGTTCTGATTCTGCAACTTCATTGGATTTGTACTATGCTGCCTGATAATTCTGATGGAGAAATAGCTTTAGGTTTTAAGTATGATTTTTTACCTTTTTCCTTGGGAAAAACTTACTCTTGAGTTATTTAGGCGGAAGAGTAGGATCTCCAGTAGAAGTTTCCCAAGATCTTTGCTTAGAAGTGGGAAGGGACCTAGAAACCACTCTTCTCTTGCGTTTTTATTAACAGTAAGGTGAAAGATTTACTGGACACTAGAGAAGCCCTTTCAGTGTCTTACCTAGTCTGCTTTAGAAGCATGTTTACAGAGTGCCAACAAAGGCTTGTAGTGCTGTTGTTCATACTACACTCAGTTGTCTGTGTTCAGTCCTCACAGATCTTTCTACTCCTCTAGCAGTTAAATTTCTTTTACCTGTCTCTCAATCTGTATGCTTCACACCTGAGAAACTGCTCTGTTTCTTGGGGAGGAGGATATTTTAACGTAATAACTTTATCAAATTATTTCCTAGTAGTTTCCTTTGTGAAAAAACCAAAATGTTCTCTCATGCTTAGCATCACTGCCGAAGATGTGGAAAGTGTTTCTGTGACAAGTGCTGCAGTAAAAAAGTGCCTCTGCCTCGCATGTGCTTTGTGGACCCTGTGCGCCAGTGTGCTGAATGTGCCCTGGTCTCTCAGAAAGAAACAGAGTTTTATGACAAACAGCTTAAAGTACTCATGAATGGTAAGGACTGAATGCATATGTATGCTATTTTGATTTCGTTTACATTTAGTCAAATGCTGTGTTAAACCTGATAAACAGCAAGCGTAATGCCTCTTGTCAGACAAGTTGCAGTTTTGTCCTTTAAGTACTGTTCTGTCGTCATGCTTCCTGTTTGTCAGTTAATAATTCTGTGTTCGCAGTTTATTTAGAGAGAAGTTCACACTTCTTAGTCAATGTTTACAGAGGGTGATTTAATTAAAGGAATTTTCAGTGCCTCTGAGAACAGACATGTCTACAGTTGGCATTTTTATTAAAATCATGCATCTTTTAACCATATTCCTGTGACATTAAATAAGGGTTAAAAATACTTTACAATAGAGAATATTTTAATATTTTCTAAGAAGATACAGTGCTTGTTTCAAGCTTCAGCTGTCAGCTTTGATCTCATCCAGTGCCTACAGCTATGGTTGATGGCAGATCATTATGAGTGGTCAATTTTGCATAGCATTAAAACTACAGTAATTCGTGTTCCACTTACATTAAAAAAGCTGAGTCTTCAGTTTTTAACATATTCTGTGGTGATTCAGTGCTTCTTGATGGGCTGTCTCAGCATGATGCTAGTGTGTATGATCAGTAAGCTAAACCACACGTCTGATTAGCGTGAATGTTCCTAGGGAGATTCTAGGCTCAGAAAGGAGCATTTCCATGCCTGTTACACACAAATCGTTCTTCACTCTGCTTTGCAGATGAAGGTGTAGGTGAGTTTTTAAATAATGTATTTTAAACCGAAGACTCTTTCTATAAAGCTTGTTCTGCTTGCCTTTGTGTTATGCAGTTAAAGTCTGAAGTTGTTAATGACTTACTGTAGAGCCCCAGATCTTGGTCAGAGGGGTGGTGGTTGTGATTGATGTCCTTTGCAGTTTCGCTGCTGTTGTGTCTCTGTCTCACTTAAGCAGCAGCCTGGGGGGCGGTGCTGAGGGGTCAGTGAGGCTGGGGAAAATTGCGAAATAGCATGGTGAAGTGCTCAGAGGCTGAATGGTTCAGATTATAGAGATGGATTGCAGGACACTTGGCAGGGCTGTATGTTGTTCCTTTTTTCATTTCCCAGATCAACGGTACTGGGATTAGGTAATACAGGGAGCACGAGGCATGGAGGAAATAAAGTAGTTGGGCATGTAGTCTGCTTTATTTTAAGTTGGGAATCACTGCACTAATGTAGCTAAGATGACTTTCCCGATGTCAAAGTTGCTGCTTTGAGCAGGAAGAAATGTAACGTGAAGGCTGAAGTTCCTTGACCTCAAAGAAAGACTGAGCTAGCCTTCGGTAATGAAACAGAGGCAACTTTACCAAGCATAGAGCTGAAGGTCACACCCTGCTATTAGATTCTTCTGACAGATTTTTTTTTTTTTTTAATACTAAAACAACAGTTTGTATTACAGTGACAATATAGGGTCTTTATTTGCCTATTTTCGCCATCTCCAAATCTGTTCTCATGTTCAAAAGATTCATCTTGGGTATCATCTGTATTTCTACAACATGTGGGAGAAATTACATAGTGATTGTGAAAGGTCTGGTGATTCAGAACATGGTAATTAAAGATCAGCTTTTTGTACTTGAGTTCTGCTGATGTTAATCAGTTTAACATTTCAGTTAGTCTCTTATTTCACCCAATTCAGTGTACAAGGTGCAGTAAGTAAAAATTAGTTATCCTTTTTGATACTTAAATGTTCCTTCCTAAACTCTTGCATTAGAATACTAAAGCATTTCTTTCCAGGTGCTACATTCTTTGTAACTCTGGGAACATCTGATAAATCTGAGCTCATGGTTTGTCGACTTTCCAACAATCAGAGGTGAGAGATTGGTAGAAATTGCACTTGTAAACTATATTAATGTTGTACTTACAGTTATATTATTATTTAATAACCTAAACAAAATATAAGAGTGACAGAGTGACATGCTGTGAGGCTATTGGAGAGAGTAATCGGGCTGAAAGGACAGATGCAGCTTTACTGGATCAAGTTTGTTTGAGTTTCTAGCGGTGTGAATCAGAATGCCTTGGAATGGTGGAGCTCCACTCGCTGGCAATGCCTCTGTGTGCTGCTGGAATAGTGTTTTTGCCAACAAATAGGGGGATCATAGGAGGGGGGGCAGGAAAAAAATCTGTAGCCACTGAAAGAAGCTTGTTTCAGAATGATTCTAACATATTGTTTAACTTTATACCCAAAGCATTACTTTAGTCATCCCTGTAATTTGGTTGGCTAGAACACTTTAGGCTGTGTTCTCTTCTTCCCTCAGAACTTCATTAGTATGCTTTCAATATGTTGAAGGGGTCTCCTGGCAAATGGAACTACAGGTTTTGTGTTGTTTTTTTTTTTTTTTTTTTAAGTGAAGATCTTCACAGAAAAGTAATTTTTCCTGCTTGATTTTTCTCCTTCCCTGTCTCAAAGCACATATAAACAGCCAGTCACTGAGAGATTGTTTATTTTGTTCCTTTGATTTAGACTTGATACTGTAGAAAAAGACCTTTTTTAAAAGAAGTTTTTCTTCTGTTATATAGATACCTGGTTTTGGATGGAGAGAGCCACTATGAAATTGAAATTATACAGATTTCAACTGTTCAGATACTTACAGAGGGATTTACTCCTGGAGGTAAATTTTTCACTGAATACAAATGAACTATTAAGAAAAAAATATGTGAAGTTGTAATTGTTGTTCAAGTTAGTGCATTTCCAGGCTATTGGTAACTCAGGTGTGACTGTTACAACTGTTCTCAGAATAGTGCCGTGTGTGAAAGCCTGTCCCTGTGGCTACTGGGATGTTGAGGAAAACCTAAGAATTGAGAAAGTAGCTTACAGCTGTAATACGGGAGAGCTTCTTGATAAACCTGAGTAAAGGGGGTCATCATCTCTTCTGATCCTTTCTCCGGGCTAAATACAGACATCTGTTGATTCAAAAGCTCATAGGAGAGGGAACTTTTAGCCTTTGGTAGCTTCCATTTCAGAATCCAGCTGGGACTTGTCTTCTGCTGGTACAAACAATTGTGAGGAGCTTAAGAGAGAAGCTGGGGGTGGGAATAAGGAAATAAGCTATGCTTTCTTAATTTCTTTCAAGACAAAGGGGTGACCAAATGAAACTGGTAACATCTGAATCAGAGGGCAGCTACTTACTGCCTCATCTCTTACCAGATTTTAGAGTATTTCAGGATGAACTTGAATGTGATTTCACTGAAATGAGAACAAACAAGGTCAGGAATTTTAATAATTGTTCTTTAGCAGCACCTTTGTCACTGCTGAAGTTGTCTAATTGGACAGCCTATCTGTGCCATTTTCAGTCAGTACAGCATGTTAACTTTAATAACTTATCTCGGTATTCAAATCAACTAGATGTGTTGCTGAGTTACTTAATGCTCCTCTAATCCCTTGTTCACTCCTCTTCTGACTGCTTTATCTTTTTGCCTGCCTGCCTTCTTGACGGTAGAAAAAGATATTCACACTTACACCAGCCTTCTGGAGAGCCAGCAGATTACTGAAGGTATTGCCAGTACCTTTGAGCATGACTCACCTAAGCATGTTGTTCTGGCCCCCCTCCCATCTTTCTTCCTCTGCAGTGCTGTTTTTTTGCTTATCTGTAGTTGTTCACCTTAAAACAAGTTACGTTCAAATCTGACACATAGGTGTTTGTTTCCATCTGCCCCATTTCGTAACCTGAGAATGAATGTTTTGGTAACTTGTTGGAGGAGAACTAAAACACTCAAGGCCTTCGTTCCACCACATGCGCTATTGTCCATGCTAGAAGAGAGAAGGGAAGGTGAGCAATAGTGTCTGTAGTGATACACAGTATTACCTATCGCCTGCTTCAGCAGGGAGGTGCTGAATTGTGTATACCAGAAATGAATAATATACTTGTGTACTGTCTGATAAGGCTTTGCACTGAATAAATTATTAATTAATGGCTTGCTTTTACACATCTTTAAAAGCAGTAAGACCTCTTAATCTGTTCATCCGAGCAGGTAGATGCAGGGGAGTGAGCGATGAAGTTGGATTTTGATTTATCCTAGAAGAGGAGCAAATAGCTGCTTTTATAAACAGTACGTGCAGGCTTTTGATTGGGTTGCTTAGACTGAGTTTGTCTTTGTTTTGCCTCTTTGATATTACAGTGATGGCCTCCAGGAGCCCTCTCAGGCAGACACTTTTCAAAAAGAACTTTGCAAAAAGTGTCCTTCTGCGTATGGTGGTGCTGCTCCTGGGGCTTAGTTTATGCTCCGCTATTTCAGGAAATAGTGCCAGTAAAGTGTGGCATTCTAGAATAAACAAAGCTTTTGTTACACTTCTGTATTTTTTGCTTTGGTTTATCTTAACCTCTGTGCAGCTAGGGTAAAAGATACAAACATCTTGCTATTGTGCTGTTGTCAGAGCAATGCATTTCGGAGCGGATTTCCTTCAGGAAGTAAATGACGTTGCCAGTCAGTATCTAGTCTTGCATAAGCATCCTTCCGAGCCTTTGCTGGGTTTGGAGGGACTTCGGAGTGCTATGGCAGGCTTTGTGTCAAGCAGGGATCCCTCTTTGGTGTCCGTCTAACTGGACGCTGGTAATTCGGTGCTGGAACTGCAGGCTCCAGCCTGAAACTGGCATCTGCTTAAGAGAAGACGGGGTGATGTTAAACCGTGAGGGTGTTCTCGGTGTGTGTACCTCGTGGCTTTACCTGCTGCTTGTACAAGTTCTGCCTCGGTGGTTGCCAGAGAGAATTAGACAGTGTTGAGTCAGCGCTTTCGGGCGCCTGGCACTAACACCCGTGGTCGCCGCCGCCTCCTTCGGCGGCAGGTAGCGCGCTTGCACGCGCCAGTGCTGGCGTTCGGGTGATGAGACGGCTTGCTTCCGCCGTGCTTATTAGCTAGAAGAAGTTGCATTACTTGGTCGGTAAAACCTGTTGCTGTTCAAGCTTTTCTTTCTGTTTTCAGGAGGTAACACTCGTGCCATAGGTATGGTTCTGCAGTATAAGGTACCAGGATCAGAGGAGCTCGCGCAGATGAAATTTACAGCCGGTGAAGACTTCAGCTGTAACAGGAAGCTGTCAGCGAGCTGGCTGGCAGCGATGCATAAGGTAAGCAAAGGAGGCAAAACTCAAGGAAGGCTGAAGAAATTCTTCGCACATGGTGCTCAGTAGCGTTAAAGAGGGTATGCAGCCTTAGGAGTCGTCTTTTCCTTTTTACTATTATTTTTTTATTTAAGGATTTTAGGGCCTTGTTGCTAAGAAAACAGAAGATGGGGATGGTTGTTATGAATGTAACATCAGCTTAATGCTCAGATACCTGAAGAAGATAGACACTACAAAGGGTTTCCCAAGATCTTCTGTATCTCCTTAGGTGAAAAGAAGTAGGAATTAGACTTCCAAGTTCCTTAGGTTTTTGTTACTCCCTGAAGAATGTGCATTATGAAATACTCTTTTGAACCTAAACTCAGCTAATTATTTTTACTACTTTATGAAGGTTCAAAGAAGTTGTTGATTTTTGAAAATGGGAACAGAGGACCCTGAGGAAAACTGTTTCATCTTTTGTTGCCCAGTGCTGTATGGCTAATGAAACTGAAGTTTCATATTTTGTAGGTCAAGGTTACAGAAGACAAAAAAAACCAAAACAACCCCAACCAGTTCTGGAACTCTGTTCATCTGATCAGTTGATAATTAGAACTGTAATTTATAAGCTGGCTGGAAATGCAAGCTGTGTGCCTGTGTACCCTGGTGGTTAAGCTCCCCAGCCACCCCGAGCTCTAGCATTTAGCTCTGGGTTCAGCACAGTGCACTCAGACTTGCCCTGTGAGTACAGTTTAGCACTTCCCTACACCTGTTCTAATTTATCTTTCACCAGCGATGCCACTCCTACAAACAGGGTGAGAACTGGTAGTTTATGGAAAAGCTTAACACCCTCCCTGCACTGCTTTGTCTCCCTTGACAGGAGTTCAGCTCTGGTTTGAGTGTGTACCTGGTTAGCAGCAGGTAAAAGGACGTGCAGCTAGAGAATGTGCATCTGCTGCCGCACAGGGCTGGGTCGATGCTGTAGTTTGAGGTGCCTGGGCCACCTCACCAAAACTGCAAAGAGGTGGCGGAAGGGGCAGGAGGGATACAGAGCAGAAGAACATTGTTTACTGCCCGTGTTTAGACAGATTACCAAAATCTCAGCTACTACTCCTAGCTTTTCCCAAGGCATTTTTGATTAAAAACAGTCATTTCTGACCAAGAAGAAACACAGGCAAGTCGATCTAAAATCTTCAGTGGCCTCAGGTTCTGCAGTTAAAGTAACCGTGAGTAGTCTCAAAAATTATTCTAGTGCCACTCTGACTGGTATTAAATGCCTTGGACTAAGGAAAATAGAGGAAGAATTTAAAGCCAGGGGTTTAAGGGAAATTTTTGGAGGGGTAGGAAGGAGATGAGGTGGCTGCAAGTGAAACTTCAGTTAACAGTGACCTTTTGCCTTCGTGTCAGGCAACGAAACTTCTTTACGAGTCCCGGGACCAGTAAGAACAGCAAAGTGGCCACTGGAGGGAAGACACCAGCCTCCAGGGAGCTGCCTTGTGCTTCTCGCTCGTTTGACAGCTGGTGACATTTGCTGTTCTCGACCCTTTCTCATTCCAGTGTGGTTCATTATGGCAGAACTGGCAAATGCAATGTGAGTATTTTTTGGAACCATGAGTATTCACTATAGTGTGCAATATGTATACAGTTAATGCTTTAAACAGCCTCACCTTTTAAGACTTTGTATATTTTGTTAAGCCTTTGTTGGCACTTAATATGAAAGTGACCTGCACTACAGCTAATGTACAGCACAACTTTTATAGTAACAATTATATATATGGTTTGCTACAAAAAGCAAACAAATGCGTATGTCTCTTCTGCAGAGAATAGTTTTTGGGTATAGATCTCAGGTTTTTCCCTCTATCCAAATGTTTAAAATCAATGTACAAGAAAATCTGCCTTAGATATGATTTTATAGAAATCACTTGGGTGTTTTTTTTTTAAACATTTCATTTTAAACACCTAAATATTTCACCAGATTCCACCAAATTGGACTTACATGGACGTGACCTTGAAACTTCTGTAATAAATAAGCTTCCAGAATAATTTTTAGTTTTGTATTTTCTTTTTGGTAACTAGCTTTTGTTAATCTAACTGTAATGCTATCTGAAATTGTATACAATTTAATGTACAAATATGAATAAATTAATTCACTTATTTAAAAAAAAGTGGTACTTTTGCAGTAACTTCTTTAATGATGGATACTGTGATCTCTACGCCGAACTGTGAAACTTTTGGCTTTCTATAAACAGCACCCTAATTTTAGCTCTAAGTGTTGATAATTGGTTCAGTGGTTGGAATGAATCCTCTGGCTGCATGTGCCGAGCCAAGCGTCCTTCTACCCTCTTGTCTTCCTACGCTGGTAAGAAAGGAGTGAACACACACACCGGGCTCAGTCATCAGCTGTGGGTGAAGGACCCCGAGAGCTTTTCTAGACAAGGATTAATGTAGGGAGGTTCCAGAACTGGTTGGCAAGTCATTTTCTGTGCAGCTATTCAACCAATGAGGAAACTTGACTAACCAGATAAAACAGGGCAAGCTTGAATTGTTCTTTTTGTGTGGACTATGCCCAAGGCACAGCTACTGTGGCTACCTCTATAAAAATACTGGAGATGCAGCCGTGCCTCAGCAGTACTTTATTGTGCACATTTACATGTTCTCTGAATTAGTGGATCATAGGCTCTTTTAATCATCACATTCATGTAGCAAATTCTTCAACAATAATACCCTTTTCACTTTTCACCACAATATATACAGTTAATGCTAACCTGTGGTAAAAGCAAGTTACAGCACTGCAAGAAATGGATATATAAATTATACACAGAACTTGTACATGAAGAATTAATCAAATTGCATACTGTTAAATGGGAGAAAATTACAAGACATGGCTAAAACTTAAAATGGGAAATTCAAAATATACTTTTGGTATATAAAATCATGTACAATTAAAATTCCAGTGAAGTGCCTTTTTTTTTTTTTTTTTTGCTTGAAACTACAATGTAGTGGAATAGGTTATTGCATAACTTACCTTGGCAACAGATGGAGGCTGCCAAGAACCACAGAAACAGTCCTTAAATAAGCTACTGCCTTTCTAAAATCCCGCTCCAAACCCTGTCTCTTTCTTCTCCTTGACTTAGCATCTATACAACCCTCTTTCTACTTCTATCCCGTCCTTCATATTTTCTTCTAGACTGACTCAGGCAGACTTCAAATTACACAGTATAACCCTCACCAGGCTCTTACCCTTTTCAACTATTGCACTTTCATCCATGCAGACATACAAATCCCTTCAGCTGCTGCAAGTTTGGTACTAACTGTTTTGTCCAGGATGGACAAGGTCAGGTTGGTAGTAGGGGAACTTTTACAGTAGTAGAGGTAACACTGGTGCTGTAGGCTGAATAATAAGAAAAGAAAACACCAAGTGAAATAGTGTGTAGGGATTTTGAGAAGCGTACAAATACTGTTGTTTTGTTAGTTCTCTAGCTCGATTCTAAACGCAAATATTACTAGATGCTAGACTATGTAAAGCTTTTGTTGGGGTTGTCTAGACTGGGATTTAAGTGTATAGTACGTTACCACTTAAAACCCTAGCCTTCATGAAGCTTTGGTGGTTACTTAATTGTGCATGTAATAGGTGAAGGTCTTGTGTCCTAGAACCCAAAGAGTGGATCAGTGGTGAGAACTCAACATTCACTGGTATCGAACAAATTAGCCAAAACCCTGACGTGGGACAGTTACTGTGGGGTTGGAGCAAACTGGACAGCGTATCTGCACTCCGCAAATGACACCTCTGAACATTTAACACAAGAAAGCTCCTACCACGGAACTGAACTGAAAACACCGCTTTAGACAACAGTTGGCACAACACTGTAGGTGGTGGAGGTACCGCTCTCCTCATCAGTGGTGGGTCACATAAAAACGATCCTCGTTTACAAACTGCAGATCTTGAAAACTGTGGATGCTGTCCATTTAACAAGAGAAAGCACCATTAAAACTAAATCTCAGTTTTATTTCTCTGTGTGAAATGATCAAAAATGATGGCTCCAGTGTATGTTTTGTTTCCAGTTACCAGCACGGCATTGCACAGTTGTACAACTGAATTCAAGCAAGGGTTCGCTGTCTAGGTTTTATTCGTGGATATAACTGCAAAAACAGAATAAAAACATTAGGCTTTGCACAGTTGATACCAAGTTAAATATAAATTAGTTAAATTATAACCAGGGGGTGGTACTTAACAAGTACTGGGTGATGAAGTGTTTTTGGGGGTGAGGTTTTTGTAAGCCACAGCATGTTCTCAGGTAACTTCTGAAAAATGAAACCAGAAGCAGCAGGAGGCCAAGGGCTGACTTACTGCTGCTCAGAAGATGACTTGGTTCATTTAGCTCAAGATCCCAGACCAGACCAAAGGATGCTTTTACATGAGTACAAGAATTCCCTGTCGAGCCCTGGAGAGAGCTTATTGCCTGCTCTACCGTTTTCTTACGCATTTTGGCACCTGTACCTCTCTGCTTCATAGCCTCACGTTCCTGGTGTCTCATGATAGCGGTATTCTATTTCACTGAGAGCAGCGTGCATGACTTGCCTACAATTGTCATCTTCGAGGCTCTTTCCTGGTTTAAATTCATACACATTTATACAATGCTCATCTTGTGCTAGGCATTAAGAACCTTCCCAAAGAACTTCCTGGGCCAAAGCTTCAAGCTGCCTAATAGATACCACACTTGACACAGGGGCCCTAGATTTAGCTGAGGGGAAAAAATTATTAAAGCGTAAATGATAATAAAGATACTAACTTGCCAAATAAAAACCAGCACTAATCTCCTAGACGTAGCCTCTCCTTTTTGTTTAGTGACACAGAGGCCATACAGAGTAAGGATAATCTGCTTTGTACTTGGTCGCAGTGTATCCAGATGATGCACGGGGGGGTTCTGACCAAAGATCCATCTTGTGTTCCTACTTCAGGAGGAAGTGAAAAACAGATGGTAACTTAGGAACTTACCCCAAGGAGATTTTTAGGCACATAGCCTTCTTTATCATTGAGGCGGGCCCACCACCACTCTGTCTCATTGTCATCCTTGCGTCTTAGAATGGTAATGGCATCGCCCTCGTGGAACGACAGCTCGTCATTATTCTGGGCTTCATAATCCCACAGAGCGTACACCACTCCCTTATTCATCACTCCTAGCTTCTCTTGCACTCCTGGTAACAACAAATTAGAGAACACACTGGATGGTAAACGAGCCTGGGTTTTCCTCTGAGTTTTTTAGTACAGGCACTGTGACCCAAATATTAGTCTCTTGTTAATAAAATTTCATGAACAATTTTCAGCACTCCCATGATGAAATGCTTTCAGAAATGTAACTTCCTGATAAAACCAAATTTTACAAAGTATTTTAAACCAATTCAGACCATGAGGTTTTTATCTTTGATTATATGTGCAATAGAAATTTTACAACCTTTTATTCAAATGAGGATAAAAATAGTTTTACAAATGTTTGAGCAAAGCAGCTTTATAGAACTGCTGTGTATTTCTCACAGGCTTGCTTTCTGCAGCAGGCCTTACACAGTAACGCTTGCAGCTTCTGAAAATCTGCAGTGTCAGGTATATAGAGCTTTAATGAAGCTTATATCCTCTGATGTATAAGTAAAAATTTGACTGCTCCATTAAGGTACTTCTTTTGCAAAATATATCTTACTAAATACATTCTGTAAGTTAATTATTCATAAATTAGGTGTTTTTTCATGTGACCTGCTAGAACTCTGTGCACCTGGAAGTTAGAGTATCTGTCATATGACACTTGACAGTGACACTTGCCACTGTTACTGTCAAAGCTTCCCCATGAAAGCATTTCTTTGAAATTAAGCCAAATTAAACATTACAAGGAGCCTGTGAAGTAATTCAAAGAATAGAAGGACTGTGAGCAATGTAAGAGTGAATGGTTTTAGCATTTTGAAAGAACAGGTAGGTGATGGGCAGTATTGTCAAGTCTGGGGCCCAAGCAGATATTTCATGCAGATCAGAGACACAAAAGGGGTGAATTTTAGAAAAGCTAAAAAATTTTGTAGTATCACAGCTTACCGTACAAGAACTGGGAGCACTGAATATAACCTTCTTCCATCTCTTCACACTTGTCTGCAGCAGTTTCTATATCACTTATAGTTGAAGCAAAAATAGCTGCCCCAGATTCAACCAGTAGTTTACAGAGATGAACACTATTGCAAGAAGCAGCACAATGCAAGGGTGTCCTGAAATAAAGCAAAAATGTGCACATGAAAAAATAAACTTCCATGAATCCTATTTTGTCTTGCAATGTGGAGTTTAGTCTGTGTGTTTTTAAAGGGACTCGTTCTTCATGATTACAGCATATGGATGCGTTCCCCAAAACCTGTCAAGCAACTGGAGTGGATGGCAGGATTTACCTGACTCCAGTAAAGCCAAACATTATAAATCAGATGTTAGCAAAAATGTTGATTTTCACAGCTTGCGAAGCTGCTGGATATAAAAGGGTATTTTCCAATATGACAGAATTTGACATGTAAAACAACGGTGAGGGTGAAACAGAGCAGAAAATGCTCATTTGCAGGGGTAGAGGGGAAGGAAAGTGTTCACAGGTCTTGACTGGATTTTGGATGTGCATCAAAATGGTGGTTTTCCCAGATGCTAAGTTAAAAATCTTAACACTTACCACCCATCACTATCTGCTGCGTTTACATTTACACCGAAATCAAGCAGGAACTTCACAATGTGGTGATGACCAGCACACACTGCGTTATGCAAAGGTGTAATTCCTTCATCATTTGGTTTACTGGGATCATCAACCTATTGAAAACATAAAACAGTTCAGCACTTTTTTTTTTCCCCCTAAATATTTAAAGTGGCTGCCATTGCTCAGAAGCTCACCTCATATATGATTCGTTGTACAAGATCAAATTCTCCCTCCAAAGAAGCATCTAGGAGGAGGGCCAATGGATTGAACTTCACTCTCAAACCGTGGCCTGTTCTTTCTGAGTTGGGTTTCTTCAAGTTGGTACGTTTTGTCTGAGTAAAGATGAAGGTTGGAAGGCATCGTTTCAAGTTGCACAAGTATTACAAATTATTCTGTTACTTTTTAACTAGATTAAGAATCCCATTCTCCTTAAATAATAATTAGAACAATGCAAATGTTTC